ACGCTCTCCGGCTACCTCTACTCGACGCCCAAGACGGCGTCCAGCATGCACCAAGCCGCGTTCCGCTACCTCTGGGCCGTGCTCCGCGCCTGCGTCTGGTTCACCGTCTGGCGAGTCCGGAACGACCGCGTCTTCCGCGCCGACCTACCGCTGCCAAGTCCATGGACGATTGCCGTCAAGGCGGCACGTGTCGCTCAACTGCACGTGCACCACAGCCTCGTACAAGAGCCCGAGCAGCCTGCTCTTCGTCGTCTTCTCCAGCTCCTCGCCCAACACGAGTGGCCGCGACGTCACCTCGTCCCGCGGATCGCGCTCCTGCCTCCGCCTGCCTAAATCAAGTCCCTCAACCGAGTACACACAACGAAGAAAGTCCGACAATTTTATTTAGCATAGTTTTATCTATTGTAATAGACGACCCACTTCAACAACAACTAGAAACGGTTTCATTGGCTCAGTCACGGAACATCCATTTCAAAGAACGACCTATGGTTCGTGTGAACGGGGCGAGCAACCCCAACATTGCTGCACACAAGGCAGCGATGCGCAAGTATCGAGCCACAAGACACTTGCGTACTTTAACGCGATACCCAATGACATGCCGCCCCAGCTTTGAATACACTGCGTGTGTTCCTGGAACGAGGTACTTGTACGCATTTGCCACCGTCTTCATGCATCTTCACGTAAGCGAGAGGGTTCCTTCATGAGTATCATGGACTTCTCCTTTAAAGGTCGACAATTCGATTCGTACCATGTAAAGTACTGTAGTCTTTTAGTTGTCGACACCTCGTGGAAACTCTTAGCTTGGACCTACACGTGTTTGATGGTCTTAGACCGGATCATAAAAGGACTCGCTGTACAGTACATTGTACTACGTGTCTCATGCAGTTGGCAAGGAAGGTTGTTACGTCCGGCATGTACGAATTTTCAGTCGACCCGAGTCATTGTGGCATCGCAACCTTGCCGCGGGTGCGACCAAGCCAATGGGGCGATGATTGTTCTGTAAGCCGTGTCCGATTGCCACGTGCCGTGACAACGGGTAGACCAAGTGGATAGACCAGTGCTTGCGCATGGCGCTAGTATGGCTTGGATCTAATGACGATGGGACGAATAGCCAAATCATTTTAAAATGTGCCAAAATAGTGAAAAAGTAAAAATTAGACTATATTTTCGAGGTGCTCTTGGCTCAAACATGAGCAGAGACGTTCTTAGTCTATTAATTTGAGGAAATACATGATTGAAAGCCCCGACAGAGTCCTCGTCGCGTTGTGTCTGGCCAGGTCCGATCATGGGGCTCGCAGCACTCGCTCGTATAAAAAACAGCTGGCGACAAGTTGGATCATCAGCCATCCAAGACCGTGTTGACGCCGGTCCACGAATAGTCTTGCCACGCAAGCGCCATTTTATTAGCAAAAAGCCACGAAAAAGCTACAGCGTAAAATGCATCAGAGTGAGGACGAATATTTCGCCTAGGTGCCATGCGGTATCTGCGATGCGGTGGCAACTGGCTCCGCGCAGACGCTGGCGATCCAGTGCGCCGAACGACGTCGTTTCGAACGCACATTTTCCAATTGGATCGACATCCTCTGTATCAACAATCCGATCATGCACGCTCCGACGCTCTTGTGCACGCTCTCACTTCTCGCGGCCATGACGGCGACGGCCCAGAACAAGGTACCAGCGTCCGGTTGGGTGAGCCCGCTCGTCATCAAGGGCTACAAGTTTTTCGAGCACACGACGGGTGCTGAGTTCCGCATCAAGGGTGTGAGCTTCTTCCCGCGTGCAAACGCTGGCACCAAATTCAACGCCAACTCGATCGACTGGTTCTCGGACGACATGGAGACGATCTGGCGCCCGCAGCTCGAGCAGCTCAAAGCGCTTGGCGCCAACACGGTCCGCATGTATGCGGTCGATCCGTCCAAGTCGCACGACAAGTTTATGTGCGAGCTCAACAAGCTCGGCATGTATGCGTTTGTCGGCATGTCGGCCGTGTAAATCCTCCCCTCTGTCTCTAGTCTAGTTTACTAAACTCTATTTGTGTAGCTGCGAGGGCTGCTACATCCTCGACGAAGAAACCCCGAAATGCTACTCGCCGGCGATGTTCACGCGCGCCCAAATGATCTACAACGCGTTTGCAGTTTACGACAACGTGCTCGTATGTCGACGCTTGTTGGTCATGTCGGGTATGAATGGCATGTTCGTGGTTAGGGTTTCAGTGTCGGCAATGAAAACAACTTGGGCAAGAAGATTGAAAAGTCGGCGCCGTGTGTCAAGGCGCTCATCCGCGATGTCCGTGCGTATGCTCAAAAGTGCGCCGGCTCGGTGCGTCAAGTGCCGATCGGCCTCGACAACGCTGACGTTGACACGCCGTCGCACCCTCGCGCATCCTGGCTCGGCTACTACGACTGTCTCAAGAGCAACGACGAAAACACCCGTGCCGAATGGTAGTTCAACGTTCTCCATTGGTTTGGACTGGACACTGATACAATATTGTCGATAGGATTGGGTTCAACCCGTACGTTGAATGCGACCCGACGACGCACCTCAAGTACGCCGACTCCAAGGGTCTGCAAAAGCTCGTTGGCGACTACAAGAAGGCGGGGTATTCGCGCCCGATCGTCTTTGGCGAGTTTGGCTGCATCGATATCACCAACACGATCAACAACATTGAGCAGCAGCGTACCTTCTTGGAGGTACATTTCGCTCTCGAATCTGAACTTGAAACTCAAATTACATGGTAGGCGAAATGGATGAACGAAGAAGCCGAGATGACCGAGTACGTCTCGGGCGGCAACGCGTTCGAGTACAGCGTCGAGAAGGCCAACCTCATCGACAAGGCGGGTGTGTCTAGTCGTTTTGCTAAAACAACACATGTCTCACCGCTGTTGGTAGCGACACCGCCGTATGCCAAGAAGGACACGGGTCGGTACGGGATCGGGTACTTTACGCCCGACAACTGCGACCACGACACGATCCCGTGTGTCTACAACAAGTACCCCGAGTTCGACAACCTCGCCTTGGCGTACAACTCGACCAAGGCATCAACCGTCACCAAGGACGCGTTCACGCCGGCGCGATCGACTGTGATGACGTGTCCCGTCGACTTTCCGACCGTCGACTTGCCCCCGACGCCGTCGGGTACGCCGCGATCTCCCTTGCGAAGACTGAGATTTGAGTCTCACTTTTCCATGTCTAGTGCCCATCCTTCAGTGCACGACCGCACAGCCCATGTGCAACAATGGTGCGTCCAACAAGCACAAGAACCTTGGCGGCACGGGCAATGGCGGTGCGTCGGGCGGTACGAGCGCGGCGCCGTCGCTGCCGACTACGTCAACGCTGGCACTTGGCCTCGGCGTCACGATCGCGCTAGCGCAGCTCTAAGACCACACATCGCTTGAGCAGATAACAAAGTGTAGTCGTATTGAATACATGCATTTAAATGTTCATTCAACGTTCGTTTCGACGCCAACCGATGAGGTGCGTAACCTCCGATTCGTACGAGCTGCCACGCCATCCATTCAAACTCTAGCTGATAGGGCTAGCGTCCATAGACTGCATCGTAGCGATGCGTGAGCCGCTGCGTTACGCGAACGACACTTAAAGAAATTATCAATCAATCAATTAGCGTGTTTGCATTGAAATCAAGTTAGCAAAAACGAACTCAAAGACGTCGCATACGTAGCGCTACGCCAGAATGCGTGGGAGTTGGCACCAGCACTTGGTCGTTGGGAGTGAGCTGCGCACGGAGAGATCCATCCCGTGTTGGACCCCACTTGCCTAGGATGGAATAGCTCGCGTGAGGTCGCACACAGGCTCCTGTACTTGGACCACCCGACAGAGGAGTGCAAGCCGTTGAAATCAAATCAGCAAAAACGAACTCAAAGACTTCGCACACGCAGCGCTACAATGCACTCTATGGGACTGGCACCATGATCTACAGCATCGCTCGCGATCTGTAGCCTTCTCCAACACAGTGCATGTCGCCGTCCAAGTCACGCGTCTCTGTGACGCTAATGTCACCAACGGTGCCTACTACAGTCAGTAGTGAATGGCGGCATGCATCGTCTTGCCAAGGTCAAGTTTTGACGTTTGTGGGACGCAAACCCAATGCGATAGAATATCATAGACAACGGCCTCATAACTGATATATAAAGTGCTTGTATGGAGGTACTGCTCATGATAGAATGGTCGTATACTAGTCTTTAGTATGTTCGCCGGCGACGAATTTGTCAGTGTTTGTGGCGGCGGCGCTTGCGCGACTTGCGTTCGCCGCCTTTGGGAGGAGCAGTCGTTGGAGGTGGTGCAAGCAACGCGTCCAATGTCGCAACCGACGCCAGATCTCTGTCTTGTAAAAAGTGGTTGCCCAAAAAGGCTTGCGCCTCGGTCACCGATAGATCTCGCGCTGACGGCGTGCGGCGTGCGTCGTCCAGAAAGATCGCTCGGCACCGCGTCGCGAGCGCAACGATCGCGTCACGGAAGCGGCCGGGGAACATGGCCGTCACTTGCTTAATGACGGGAAAGAGCTGGTTTCGGTTCGTGTCGAATGTCGGTGGCATTTTTGCAATCCACTTCGTCAGAAAACTCGGAATCTTCTCGGGGGCGATGTCGTTGAACGCGACGACCGTTGCCATGACGAGATCCACCATGATATCGGGCGTGACCTCTTCATTTTCTGCATTTTGGAGGAGCGTGACGGCGCACGTGTCCAAGAAAATGATCGCCGAAGCGCGCGTCGACGCCGCGATCGTCGCATGTTTTGTGACGAGCCACGAGACGGCGATGACGACTTCGTAGCCATTGAGCAGCGCCACTTTCTCCATGAGTCGTTCGTCGCAGCGGCCGATTTGGTCCATAACGCGCAAGAGACAGTAGCCGCCTTCGAAGCTCGACGTTGCTTTTTGATTCTTCGATGTCGGTGCCCGTCGACATCCTTCGCAATGAAATCCAGGTACGGCTTTTGAACCAGCGTCGGTTGCAGCGCGGTTGCCTTGAGGAGGAGTTCCGGGAAGATTTTCAGTCGATCTTCGGTCGTGAAACGGAGCGACAGGAGCGTGTACACGCCGCGGCGGTGCTTGTAGAGAAAGCTGTCGACAACCGACACCAGCGCTGGTGGCAGCTTGTGGTTCAGCCAATGGCCATTCGCAACCAAAGGCGCCATGTCGTGGAGATATCCGTCCATGAGAACAATGTACTCGTCGATGGTCGAGGACGGCCACACGGATTGGTGGATGAGCACCTCGTGCCAGCAGCGCTTGAAGAACTCACAAACAAACGGCTGCTTCAATGGGGTGCACTTGCCGTTCTTGGTGGCACCCGCCAAGTTCGCCAAGAGCCGAGAGATGGATCTCACGTCGTCTTTGACCCAGCGTTGGATGAGCCGCAGCATGGCCGCCTCCAGAGCTGGCCACCCGTACGTTGCCAAGCAGAGGTAAATCATGTCGGTCTCTGACCATTGGTTAGAGACCGATATTGCGTCGCCGAGAAAGAGCTCCGCCATCGCCACGTTGTTGCAATTGACCAAGGCATCGTTCATCATAGTGACGTACTTGAACGGCAAAACGTACTGGGGCGGCATGCTCTGGAAGAGCCCAATGGCGCCGTGGACAAGATCGTCGGCGCAGTGCAGACCGAGCTTGCTGGCTCTTGAGTTCGATATCGCCTTCTTGAGCAGCGGGAAGGCGACTTCGACTCCCACGATACCGACGCGGCAGGCCTTGGGCCAAAAGAGAATCGCTGCTGCTGAACACGCAAAGATGTCGTTGTCCTGACCAAGCGCTTCGCCAGCGTCCTTGAGAAAGGCGTTGGCGCGCTTCCCCAGCAAGCGCTGGGCGACAATCTTGGGGATCCGGCACGATGGATGTGGCACGCTCGCGGCCACGATGTTGAGAGCCCCAATGTCGGCAAATATACGAGGCACATTCGTGGTAAACTGCACAAGTGCGATGTCGTAGCACTGCGTGGCGACGAGGAGATCGACAAAGTCCGCCTCTGCCGGCTTTAGCGCGCCAAAAACGAGCGCTTCCATCTCGTATCGAATCGGGCGCGCAATGCGCTGGCGAGGCGGCAGCGGTGTCGCCGCAATCGCTGCAAATGCAGAAATCGACTCGTGGCGCGGCACGGGCAGGAGCGAGGTGTCGTCCAGCGGGAGATTCACACCCACCAAGTGATACACGAGCGCGGCGCGGTAGCCGGACGTGATGGGCGACGATGCCAGCGTCGTGTTTCTGTACGTTGCTAAAAAGCGCATGGCCTTCTTGAGTGGCTTCAACTGCACCGACGTCGACGCGCCATCGAAAGCCACCGTGATCTTGCCGCCGTTGTACGGCGCGGGGAGCACAACGACGAGCGTGCCAAAGAGATTCGTGTCGAAGTCCTCTGCGTCAATGTAATCGGGTGTAAAGGCATCCACGGAGCCCGTCGTATCGAGGCACATGTGAGAAAAGTACGCGCAGAGATTCGTCGTCGTCATCCCCAGCCCGAGGTCCACAGCGTCGAGAACGTGCTCGTCAAAAGAGTCTTCCCACGGACTGTCGTCTCGGTAGTCATACCGGATGTCTTCCAACGGAACTGTGATGCAGCCGTTGATGGCCGTGTAGCGCGCGAAGAGCTGTTGTTCTTGTGCTGGCGGCAGCGGCCATTGCAGGAGGCCGTCGACGCCTTTGACGCTGATCTCGGGCAGCGTGTCATTGGGCACCTTGTTGGCATAGGCAAACGTCTTGGCGGCTCGATACTTGCGCATCGCGGCCTCGTGCGCAGCGATGCCGGGGTTGACCAACCTGTTCACGGCGACCATTGTTTATGACGGCTTTTCTTTGAAATGCGAGCTTCATTGGCCGGACGCGTCGCCAATCAACACTGTTTCAACGCCCAACACGCATCGGATTGGCTAAAATTAGATTATGACGTGGCAGCGCGGTGGTCCGCGCTCTGCTACGACGTGCACGAACACGAGTCCTTCGCTGCCTACCTACTAGTACCCGAGACATCGAGTACTACGCACGCCAAATGGGTTAATCTGCAATCAAACAACTGTGTGTGGACAGAGAGGGCGGCGAAAGACATTTCTAAGGCATTTAGCGAGTACAGGAGCCTGTGTACGACCTCGCGCGAGCGATCCCTCGGTGAGTGGGGTCCACCACGGAATGGATCTCTCCTCCCAACGACCAAGTGCTCGTGCCAACTCCACACAATATGCGAAGTCTTTCAGTTAGTTTGTGTCCATTTGATTTCAACGCGGGCACGTTTGATTGATTGACAAATGTGAAGCTTTCTAGAATCGACCAGGCGCGCTGCGGAGGCTAGACCCGCCATGCTCTGCCACTAGCACGCAGCCAGCAAGGCGAAATGCACGATCAAATCGCCCGAGTTGACCGAGTACGTTACGGGCGGGAAAGCGTTGAAGTACACAGCGTCGAGACGGCCATCTTGGTCTAAAAACCTGGATTTTTTGCTCCGATGTTCGGTTGTTCGCTGCTTCACGTTGGCCCGTATCGAGTGACGATACCACCTGTGCGGCAATAAACGCCGGGTGCAATGGTATCGGGAAGTCCTTTTACATCGGCCAACTGCGATTCTGCTCGACGCCGTGTGAATGAAGCGTTTAACAACCTGACGACGGTTAACAACGCGACCACAGTCCAGCGGTCCACTCGGCAAACTGTCCGAAACGGCATCACTAACTTCGCCACCGAGATTCCCACCGCCCAAGGATTTGTAGGTGGACTGACTATGAATTGGTATTTGTCTAATGCCCACTTTGTGAAATTTGGTGGCACAGAGCGTGAGGCACGACGACGTATGCAATTGGTACAAGGCCTCGTCAGCGACAAAACGGCGCTAGCAGCTCGACATCTGGTGCCAGAGCATAGCCACATCGATTGTGCTTGCGCTTTCACAATTCGTGGTCGTGACGGCTTTTGATTCTTTGCCGAATCCATCCGAATGCAGTCAAGGCATCGAGGTCGTACGCGGCGGGCTTGCGACGTGTGGCCATTGCAGTCGGTCATGGCGGATGCGCGATCGATCCATCAAGACAGGCGCTGCCTGCTGATAGCACAACAGTGCAACAATAGTGTCAGACGTGCAGCGTGCAGGGGTGCGGTAGGCGTGGCAGGGTCACGGACAATACGCGCGATGCGATTTAGGTTACTAGTTGCGGACGCCTTCCATGACAGACTTCTCGCCAGGGTACAACTTGCTGATGGCGACCTGTCGCCGGAGGATCGCGAGCTGCTCGTGGCCAAACGCCAAGGCAGCTTCGGCGTCGGCGGCGGCGGCGCTCTTCTTGGCGTGGAAGTCGGCCTTGATACGGCGCTGCGCGTACGAGCGGAACGTGTAGTTCTATTGAAGAAGCATGAGCACACTGCAGGTGCTGGCAGGTCGCACCTCGTACTGGGCGGCTTGGCGCAGCATCGTGCGGTACAAGCTCAGGACCTTCTGCTGTTGCGCCATCGTGCTTGCTCGAAATGAATTGAGAACACCAGTGAAGATGGGGTCAGGAATGGATCGATGCCATTGGCCAAAAGAACACAAATTTGGCCAATCCGAAGCGCTACACCTATAAAAAGTGCTCGCTTTTCGACCAATCCCACGCGTGCAACGTACTGACGCAGTATAAAACGAGGCCACCTGCACTCGCACCGTGTCATTCGCTAAAAAGATTGCATTTGCAAGGGTCCAGCCAATGAATACGCGACATGGCCTTGCATTTCAACGAATCATGAGCACGCCTCGAACAAGTGCGCTTTGTCAAGGTTCGTATCTTGGGCGGTCGCCACGATGGAGATGCAGAAGCTCCTGGCGCACCTGCGCAGCATCGAGGCCGGCCACGACACGAACGAGCGCTTCCTCCAGCGCTTGGCGCCGTCGTCAAGCGGCGTACCCACGAAAGAGGATGACATTTACAAGCTTCTGCGCAAATCCAGGACCAAGAAGCCACCAGCCAAGAAGCCACCGCGGCAACAACGGCCAGCGCAGCCTCAGCCCAAGCCCGACTCGCTCCATGACCGGCGCGAGCGGCTGCACACTGTCATGTCGTACGAGCTGAACCGAAAAGCCAATTTGTCCGTCGTGCCGTTGCCAGCACCAATGGCATCGCCACCCAAAGTGCGTCATCTCGACCCCAAGCTGCAAAGAGCGCTGACCTCGGCGCGCGATCACCAAGCCGACGAGGTTCGCGCGGCCGAGATCGACGTCGACACGGCGCTCCACGACGCCGAGACGCTCCTTCCGCTCTCGTTTCTTATGGAGCGCAACCTCGCTGCGCTCTGCCAGTCGAAAGCTGGCGCCATCATCAAGACCGCGTTCGAAACCTTTGCTTTGCATTTTTACGACGACGCGTGGCACCACTGGATGGCCTTTGTGGCATCGGCACGGGAGCGAGAACGAGATGCAGCCGTGCGGGTTCTCAGCCGCGTGTACCGCGGGCACCTTGCCCGACGTGCCTGTGTCCAGCTGCGCGCAACGTATGCCGCGCTCAACGCGGCGACGGCGGCAGTGCTCGACCAGCGCATTGCGCACCGCCGCAGCTCGGCCCTTCGGATTCAAATGGCGTTTCGGCAGTATGGAGTTCGCCGACGGCATGCCGAAGCGATCGCCAAGCATACCGCGGCCCGCGTCATCCAGCACCTCGTGCTCTATCAGAAAGCCCGGGCGCTCCGGTTTGCTGCCATGCTCGCCGACGTTCGACGCCATGCGGCGGCCACTACGATCCAGCGTGTCGTCCGCGGACGTCGCGGCCGGGGCGACGCTGCCCGCGAAGCACTTGGTCAGAAGCGCGCCGCGATTGTCGCCAAACTGTGCGACCCCAAACTCGCCATCGCCAACCGGTTCGAGTCCCAGGGCGCGGCATTCCGCATTCAAACGGCCGCTCGGGCGTGGCTGTGCCGGCGCGCGGGCCGCCGATACCGCGCGGCGCTGCGCCAAGCCGCGGCCCGGAAGATGCTCCATCATGCGCTTGCCTCGTACGTGGTCCATTACAAGTACAAAATGCGCAAAATGGCGCTTATCGCTTCCCTTCCAGCGCGTCAGGCTGCCGCACGACTGCTGCAGCGGGTGATCACCAAGTGGATCCTTCGGCGCAAGTGGCAGCTAGATCGCCTTGTCCGGCGAAAGCAAGCGCGACTGCGGCGGGTCGAAGCCTACGCCAAGCGTCGGGCGCAGCCGCTCGCGGTCGTGTCGCGCGGTCTCCAAAAGGCACAAAACCGCGCACGTGGCGCGCTGACGTCGTTGATGTCGGCGTCGAGCGCGGCGGCCAAGGCCTCGGATCGCCGTCGCCACGCCGCCGTCGCGATCCAGCGCGGCTGGCGCTGCAGTCGGCTTCGATACAAGAAATACTTGCAAACACTGTATGCACAAATCGAGTTTCTAGAGCTGCGCAAGACGGCGCTCTTTGCCCACGCGACGCGCATCCAAAAGCTGTGGCGCGGCCGCCGCGCGCGCAAGCAAGTTAAATTTCTCTGGCTCGACAAGGTCACGCGGCACGCCGTGGCCAAGTGGCGCGCGCGGCGACACCGGCGACGCACGATTGCGGCACAGCGTATCCAGCGCAAGGTACACCTTTTGCTAGTTGGCGTCGCTTGCATCGTGGCGTCTAGTTTCGAGGCGTCCGCGGCCGGCGACTGGCGAAGCTCGCACTTGCCGAGATGGCCCACGCGCGGCGTTGTGCGACAACGCTCCAGCGTCTGGTTCGACCATGGCTCGCCACACGCCATGTACACATGAAGACTATGTGACATGAAAAACCTGGCGGTATCTAATAGATGCATCGTCTTCGCGACACGGTGCGCCGTCGCCACGAGACTCATCTCGTGTGCGTCGCCTCGCTGCAGTGCTGTCGCCAAGCCGCCGTCGAGTATTTGATCTTTAAATCACTCGAAGGCGCCATCGGGGATGTTCTCGTACGTTGGTTTTGAGATATATTTTTTGGTGCCCAACTCAAACTCAATCTCACATTTGTCAATGGACGTAGACGTACCCGGCGTGGTTGGCCAGCGCGAGTGGCTTTACACCTCAACACATTTCCTTTCCGCTACTCCAATTGCTCTTCCTCGACTACAACGGCCTCAAGCGCGAGCATTTGAGCTCGATGCCGTTGAAAGAGCTGCAGCAGCTGCGACTGGACCGGTCGAAATTCCTCAAAGTGTTTCGAGACGCGTTCCCCAACACGTCCCGACACATGGACATGTCGTCGGACGCGGATAAAGTCCTGAGTCGCCTCAAGGAGTACCCGAGCCAGTCGCGCATCTCGCTCTCGTACGCGATGTTTACGGCGGCGCTCAAGGACATGGCGATGCTCGCAATCAAGTCGAAAGCAACCGACCTCTCGCCCGACGCACGCTTGCTCACGCTCGTAATTAAGCACATCAACAGCGGCAAATGGGCAACCAAGTCCAAAGGTAGGACGTCGAAGGAGATACATTTTCTTACCCGTATGTATCGGGTGTTGACGGTATCGACTAGCCGCGGACCAGCTCGCTGCGTACGTCAACCAGTGGCTCGACCACGCGGCGCGATGTCTTCAGCGACTCGCCCGACGCGCGCGGGACCGAGACCGCGGCAATGCTCTCTTGCACATCAAGCGCGTCGAGTGGCAGGTACCAAAGATCGCGTATATCGCGCCACGAACCAGCGGTGGTAGCAACGACTGTTGGCAGCGGCGGCGGCGACTATCCAGCGGGCGTGGCGGCGGCGGGCGGCGCAGAGTTACCTTCGATCTCTTGTGCGCGCGGTGTGTCCTCTCCGATGCACGAATGTTGCAGTGGGCGAGCGCAACCTAGGTCTTTCGCAAATACATTGATGCAGCGACCGGACTTCCTTACTGGACCAACCCGCGCACGGGCTACTCGACGTGGACCAAGCCGCGCTTGCTCGGCAAAGGCGACGTCGACACGGACGTGATCCCGATGGCCGACGCTGACACCGAGTATTCGATCCGCTGCACCAACTGCAACGTACGTAAGCATCCCATTTTTGTGTACAATATTGTCGTTTTAGATCAACCCGATCGCCGAGTCGTGCTTTCACTGCGAAGACATGTACTGCGCATCCTGCTACGCACAGCTGCACGCCAAAGGCAAGATGGCGACGCACGTCCACTTTGCTATCCAAGGCTGCAGTCTCTGCAAGTTCCAGGTGCGATGGGATACCTATATATTTACTTGATGACGCGAGCACGACAGGTCGGGACGCGCCACTGCCACCAATGCAACGCCGACTACTGCGACAACTGCATGCGTTATGTCCATCAAAAAGGCAATCTCGCGTTTCACACGTAAACAGAGTATTTCTGTTGATGTTCCGTGCCATGATATTTTATGAGTAGGGCCGACCCGCTTGTCGCTCTCTGTCTCGACTGCAAGGAAGTGCGTGCGGTGCGCGTGCAGTGCAGGACACACGACGTCAAGCTGTGCCTTTCGTGTGCCCATGGCCACCCGCCCGAGCTCTGTCGGCTCGAGGTGTTTTCTTTTGTTTTATTCGAACATAGGAATTGGGCATGAGACTGTTCATTGTTTAGACAATACCGTTCCTGCCGTTCTCGCTTGATGACGCCTTGAACCGCGTCCATCTCGACCGACGCGAAAAGCTCGAAGCCGAGCAAAAGCGCATGCAAGACCAGCGCGACTTGGAAGCACGGCGCCTTCAAAGCGCCCTGCGCATCCAGCGCAACTGGCGCCGCAAGGTACTCTTGCTTTACTTTATATACATGGTACGGGAGTACACCATTGGCTTGTAGCTGGCGCACCAAAAGGGGTTCCAGAAGCTTCTTTCATTGGCCACCGCCAAGCAAGCCGAGTGGGCCAAGCGACAGCGCGACCGCAAGGTGAATGACGACACCTTTGGTCGATTGATGGATACTATTGTCTTAGAAACAACGGACACTCGGGTTTGTGGTCAAGGACATCTTTGGGAAGGCCGGTTTTCTCGAAACCGACACGCCGGCCCACCAAGTGCTGCGTCGTCTCAACGTCTTTACGCGCCACAAGGTTCGTGGATGCTTCTCCGGCACTGTGACACGATGCTGTGCTCAGATACTGGCGCGGATCCGAAAACTCCAAGTGCCGCTTGACGAATACCTCTTCCTTGGCGTCCTTCTACCTGGTCACGCTTCAATTGCAGCCGTAAGAATCTCGTGGCAGATGCTTTGATGATGAGCGGGATGCATCGTATAGGGCAGCACGTTCCTCGAGACCAGCGAGGACGTCCGTGGCTGGGTCGTAAATGGCCAAGCCTTGCGGTATGTCGCTACATTATACCGTCGCATTCATGTACCTTTTTTGGGCTAGAATCCAAGACCACGTGTGCTACATCCACGCCTCGGAAGCCATGCTCGAAGCCAGCCTTGCACTCCACGAACCATTTCGTTACGAGAGCGCGGTGCAGTCCCCGTATTACGCGATCGAGTTCTCGACCCAATTCCCAACCCATCTCAAGGCCATGTCCGCATGCGATATATCAACGAGACGACTGACCAAACACTTTTTAGTCAAAATAAAACCGGTTTGGCCAAATTGCACAAGGCCGTACCAGAAGTCCACGTCGCAAACGCACGTACGTCAGGTATTATTCCATGGCATTGGTTGCTAGAATCGGGTATGGTAGTGGCCAGCCTCGGCGCCAAAGTCCAGTCGCTTGCCCACCGCGTCGACGAAGACTCGTTTGTGGGCAAGTCCCTCAATAAGATGGCCAAGTCGGTGCAAGGCGCCGCGCTGCGGAAAAAAGTCGCGCTGGAAATCCGCAACGAAGAACAAGCCGAGCAGCTCGACCAAGACAAGAAAAGCGAGCGACAACGGTCGGTTATCAGTGCCGGTCGACGGCAATCCTGCGCCTCGATGACGGCCGTGGCCGCGGCGGTGCGCATGGCGTCCTTTGCCGAGCTGGAAGGGCTCGGACCACTTAATGGTGAAAGCGACGATGGAGTCGGCGCTCGGGTTGAACCGCTGCCGGGAGCTCCGATCGACAAGGGCCAAGCCAGCTACGAGCCGTCTTACGACACTCCAGGTGGCGCTGGCACCAACGAAGATGCAGCGTCAAGCTACCCTGCCGACGCGTACGCATACCAAGCGGCAGCCAGTCCAGGAATTTACGACGCCACCTACGGCGAGGCGGCATACTACCAGCAGACAATCGGCAACTACGGCGCATACAGCTCCGAGACGGACCCCGCCTACTACGACTTTACACAGACAACGTACGACGCGGCGGCGGTATATGGGACAAGTGACAGTGGCGGGGACTACGCAGCAGCACCCGACCAAGCGGCGCCAACTGCGTACGATGCGGTATATGGTGGGTACGATGCCAGTTACCCGAGCGGCGAGTACCCGGCGAGCGGTGAAGCGACAGTTGGCAGCTACGACGCAAACTACTCGTACGCAGCGCACAGTACTGGCACAGCGCTGGATGCGCCATCGATGGACGGTTCAGGTCTGTATGATGCGTACAACCTAACACCGTTGGGCGATCCGTCGTATGGGACTCATCAAGCGACGCCCTCGCACACTGCACCCTCTTACGACGACTACGCTTCCGCCAGCTACGACCCATCGACGAGTTGCGACACCTCTACCGGTTACAACGCGTCAGCTGGCTACGACTTTACGAATGGCTATGATCAGCAAGCCAGCTATGATCAACATGCTGCTTACGATCAGCAAAACGGCTACGATCAACAAGCCGGCTATGATCAACACGCCGGCTACAATCAACAAACGGGCTATGATCAACAAGGCGGCTATGATCAGCAAGCCGGCTACGATCAACAAACAGGCTATGATCAACAAGGCGGCTATCATCAACAAGGCGGCTACGATCAGCAAGTCGGCTACGACCCGCAAGCTGGCTATGACATGCAAGTCGGCTATGATACTGCGTGTGACGGTGCGTACGACGTCTCGGGGTCTGCTGACGGCACCGATCCGTGGCAAGAGATTTACGACCCACAAAGTGGCCAGTCGTACTATTACAATGCGATAACGGGCGAATCCGTCTGGAAAACATAAGACAAGTTGTTAAACCACTAGGTTTTCTACGCTACGATCGCGAAAAAGGCGGCGATGGCGACCGAGAGCAGCGCAATAGACGTCGTCGCCACCGCGTTTTCGCCCGTCGAGTTGGAGTCCTTGCTGTTGGAGCTGCCGCCGGACGCGCCGCTCACGAGTTTCTTCTTGGGGGCGGCCGTCGCCACGTCGAGGGGCGTGGTCACCTTTTTCTTGTTGGAAGCGCCGCCGTTGCAGACAGGTTGCGCGTTTGAGCAGCCGAGGATCGGAACTAGCTCCGCGTGAGATACCTGTCTACGACCGACATGGAACTTACCCTTGGGTGTCGGAGGCAAGTCGACGGTCGGAAAGTCGGCCGGGCACGTCATCACAGTCGATCGCGCCGGCGTGAATGTCTCCTTCTTGAGCGTCGACGGCTTGGTCCCAGTATACGCTTTTGCGAGGTTGTCGAACTCGGGGTACTTGTTGTAGACACACGGGATCGTGTCGTGGTCGCAGTTGTCGGGCGTAAAGTACCCAATCCCATACCGACCCGCGTCCTTCTTGGCATACGGCGGTGTCGCTACCGATAGTGGTGAGACATGTGTTGTTTTAGAAAAACGACTAGACACACCTGTCTTGTCGATGAGGTTGGCCTTCTCGACGCTGTACTCGAACGCGTTGCCGCCCGAGACGTACTCGGTCATCTCGGCTTCTTCGTTCATCCATTTCGCCTACCATGTAATTTGAGTTTCAAGTTCAAATTCTAGATAGAAATGTACCTCCAAGAAGGTACGCTGCTGCTCAATGTTGTTGATCGTGTTGGTGATATCGATGCAGCCAAACTCGCCAAAGACGATCGGGCGCGAATACCCCGCCTTCTTGTAGTCGCCAACGAGCTTTTGCAGACCCTTGGAGTCGGCGTACGTCAAATGCGTCGTCGGGTCGCACTCGACGTACGGGTTGAACCCAATCCTATGGACAATATTGTGTCAGGGTTCAGTCTAAGTCAATTGAGAACGTTGAACTATACCATTCGGCACGGGTGTTTTCGTCGTTGTTCTTGACGCAGTCGTAGTAGCCGAGCCAGGATGCGCGCGGATGCGACGGCGTGTCAATGTCGGCGTTGTCGAGGCCGATCGGCACCTGACGCAGCGAGCTTGCGCACGTGTCGCCGTACGCACGGACGTCGCGGATGAGCGCCTTGACGCACGGCGCCGACTTTTCAATCTTCTTGCCCAAGTTGTTTTCATTGCCGACACTGAAACCCTAACCACGAACATGCCATTCATACCCGACATGACCAAGAAGCGAAGACATACGAGCACGTTGTCGTAGACTGCAAACGCGTTGTAGATCATTTGGGCGCGCGTAAACATTTCAGGCGAGTAGCACGTCGGCGCGGGCTCATCGAGAATGTAGCAGCCGGGACATCTACAGGATATGCGATTTCAGTGCCATCGACTCGAAATATGGCAGGACGTACACGGCCGACATGCCTACAAAGACGTAGATGCCCATTTTGCTGAGCTCGCACATCAACTTGTCGTGCGACTTGGTCGGGTCCACCGCGTACATGCGCAGAGTGTTGACACCGAGCGCCTTGAGTTGCGCGAGCTGCGGCCGCCAAATGGACTCCATCTCGTCCGTGAACCAGTCGACCGAGTTGGCGTCAAAGTTCTTGCCTGTGTTGGCGCGCGGGTAGAAGCTGATGCCTTTGATGCGGAACTCGTCGCCCGTGACGCCGTCAAAGAACTTGTAGCCCTTGATGACGAGCGGGTTGAGCCACCCGGCGCCCGTTGTCGACACCGTGCTGTTGGCCGACGCGGGCGTGCCGAGGGCCGACTGCGCGGCCACGGACGTAGCCGCGGCCAAGGCGAGGACGCTGGAGAGATGCATAGCAGGGCGAATGCAAATGAGAAATGATCCACGTTCTCTACGACGATCACGCCGGCGTTACGCACCGCCGTCGCACGCGCAATGATTGGTGTAACCATAGAAGCCAGTGCAGTCGTGCTGCCCCTATGCCAGCCCATATTCTTGCTCGTATGTACATATTATATATACGGTATCCTCTAAATTCGGTAACACTGCATACTGGCATACTGCGTCGGCCGACGCAAGAGGCGAACATGGTTCTGCTGCTGCCCAGAGCACGGTAGGAGCCAGTAGACGAGTTGAATGGGATGGGAAACTCTTTGCTATTTCTTCTACCGATGGATTCTGTTTGCATTTTGAAAACGCGAACGAGTCCGATAACGAGGGTACATGTACGAGGGTAGGCTGTGGCGATGGCCGCATTGCTCGTCTACCTACTTGTACCTGCGGCACAAAATTGCGAAGCAGTGACTCGCGGTAGAAGAGCGATTCGACCAGCGCGATGTGGATATACGCACTGGCTTTCCATAGTATCCATCTGTAATGACCGCCGTCCTTGCAACGCTGTCCTTTCACGCTACAACTTGTAGCGTACTTGTATGACTACATACCGGTATATTATTATAGTAGCCTTCGCAAAAACGATCGTCTATTAGTTGCCAAGTGTCCTAACCTTCTTCGTAGACGTTGGACGACACGGACAAGCGAGCAGTTTCGAGGTGGACGGCAACAGCTGTGTATCGATAGTATCGTGCGGCTCTGCGTCGTTGACGTGTGAAATACACGTGGATTCACTCTCCATTACACGGTGTAGTGGAGAAAGTCTCTACACCGTCGACGGCAATCTTTCCATCGCGCTTTTATTGTCCTCGCGTCGACTAGCCACTGCTGCGAGATCGTAGCGCCGGGTCTCCTAGGGTAGACAACTTGTCAACGACACACGGTGGTCGCAGATTGTAGCCTCGGTGATGACTTGCTATAGTCGATACCCGGTACCGGTGTTCGAGAAAGGCATTCGACCACCATCCAGGTCCCTTTTCTCTTCGATGTTAGACAGGGACAAGTTGTCCATTTACTGCATAACTTATAAACGTGTTTCGCGTTATCTGCGTTGCAACGTGTCCATTTATGAGCAAGACTTCCGTGCGCTTTGGCGCGGCCGCGAGATTAGCAGGTGAAGTCGGGGGGGGGCTGGGGGGCGTGCGCATAACGCTAGCTGTTGTCGAGTGCATATAAATATGAACTAAAAGCACTTGGTGCGTACGCTTGAACATGCCGTCCAAGGTGCATACTGTAGCGCTCTTGTCAACAAGCATTTGTCCATTGGCTCCGTTCCGTTGTGCCACGCCACTGGTCGCCGTTAGTCCTTTCAGAAGAAGAGGCTAGTTGTGGAATAGAGGATATATTTAAAGTTATATGCAGCCACGCGCCGATGTGCGAATCGGAGCTTTACTTGCGGCCGCGCTTTTGGTTGGTCTTGGACCGCGCCATCTTGCCGGGTCGCTTCCCGCCCTTGGGCGCCGCGTTCCGCTTCCCGACGCCTTCGTTGTTGCGCGCACGGCTAAAGGACGACATGTCGTTGGTCGACTTCTTCGAGTTCTTCTTGTCGGCGCGGGTCTTCCCGCCCGAGCCCCACTTTTTGTTGGCGACTTCGCGCTTCTTGTTGACTTTCGGGCGCTTGGCGTCGCGGCCGTCGTCGCCGTCACGCTTGCGCTTGTTGGCGGCGCCGTCCAGCATCTTGTCAAAGCTGCCGTCGTCGTCCTCAACCACGGTGCCGCCCGAGTTGTTGGTGTTTTTCCGCTTCTTCCACTGCTTGACCGCGTCCAGCGTATCGTTCTTCTCCTGGAGGCGCTGCTTGGTCTTCTGCGTCTGGAGCTCCTTGGCCACCTTCTTGTGCGCCTGCGACTTCTTGCGCTCCTCGACGGCCGCAATCTTCTTCTGTTCGTAAATGAGCTTGTCCTTGACACGCGCCATGTGCGCGTCCGACTTGAGCATCTCGGCAAAGTAGTCGTCCGGGCGCTTGTACGGCAGCTTCTCCTTGAGGAGGCGCGCCTTGGCGTCCTTGACGGAGCCGAGCGTCTGGTTGTAAAAGGCCACTTCGCGCTTGAGGTCGTCGTGCGCGTTGGAGAGCTCCAGGGGCACCTTGCACGTGTCGAGGGTCTCGGTCCACGCAAACTTTTGCTTCAGGTCGAGCTCGTTGGCCAGGCGCAGCATCGCGTCCTTGTTGTAGATGGCCGAGGTTTCCGCCGCTGCCTTGGACTGCATCTCCTCGACAAGGCGGCGCTCAATCTCTTCCTCGTCGTCGTCGTCATCCGAGGCGTCGTCGTCATCGTGCGCGTCGTCGTCGCGGCGCGCCGACATGACGGGCGTGTTGAGGATCTCCATCTCGCTCGCGGCTTCGGCGCTCACGAGCTTCGAGACGCTGCGGCCGACGACCGCGAGGCTGTCGCCCGACTTGGCCTTCTTCGAGCCCTTCTTCGCCATCTTCAAGTATACGAAAATGACATCCGCCGAAATTGCACCAATCGGCCCGTTCAACCAACCATTCGTATTGGAGCGCTCGGAATCCGCATCAACGATTGGCCCATTCAAGATCTAACGAACCAATCAACATGCGTTGTATCCGAAAGTATCCGGATAATGCGTTTTCGGCACTGAGGGATCGGCGCCGCGGCGGCCATGCCGACGCCTCGTGGTTCCGGCGAGGTACCAGTACCACACTGTACTTGTAGGTGCGATAGCAGCATCTCGCATGGCGCAGTCGCGTACGGGGCATCGGCTGCGTCCATGATCAAGACGTCAAATACCATGCTTGCTGTACCTCGCGCAAAACGCTGTCTCGCGACTATAGGTGTGCACGTCAGTCCCGTGGAGCCAGCTCGAAGCGACGCGACGGCAGCCTCGTACTACAGAACTACTTGTTTCGTAGCCTATTGTGCCCCCTGAAAGCGTTCAACACAATGCTCAAGTCGTTTTATTGTGTTTACCCGACGCACGACCCTCGCGTAAACGTAAACTGTTTGGACGGCGCGAGACGATGTGAACTGGGCGGCTGAAGGTCGTTGCTTTTGATGTGTCCGAGGATCTTGGGCGCATACACGCGCCAGTAGGGCGGCAAGAGCGCCGGAAGAAAGTCGTAGACGCTTACGAGGTAAAAGATACCGTCATCGTCGCTCTTCGTTTTGGCTTCCGTGAGCACGTGGCGGGCCGCTGGCTTGGCCGTCAACGCGACAAAGCCCAAGCGTGCTACCATGCTCGGCTTGCAGAACAGCCGATGGCCAATACGCACCGTGTCAGCTGCGTCAAATGGCAGTGTCGTCGTCCAATGCGGTGCACCACAGACCTTGATAAAGACATTGTCCTTGGTCCATGCGGCGTCTAGGAGCCACTTGCCGCTGAAGAGCCGAAGCTTGCACACGCCATAGACCACACTCGCAAGATAGCAGACGGCGAGCCACCCAAAGATCGCTGGTAAAACTTCGTTGATCGCGGGGGCAATCGCAATCGTAGCAAAGGCACCGCACGGACAGTCTCGCCCGTCGATGTGCAATGTGAGGGTGTTGGTGATGGAGGTCATCATACTTTTGTGCATTGTCTCGTGCCGAGGTAGCAGATCAAAGAAGAGTGCCAGGAGACCGGCGTACAAAAGCACCGAGGCAGACATGGGAACCAGCCGATAACGCAGGAATGCGCGTGGACTTGGAATTGACGACATGAAAAAGCTGAGCCATAGCATACCCCATGCTGAGAGCATGGCGACGACGACGACGGCGCAAAACCACACGAGCTCGCCGTACGTCGACGACGCGTCGTAGAGCCGGCCGACATCAAGATAGATGGCCGCTGGGTACATGTTGCACATACCGACCAAGTGGAGACCTCGTCGGCGCTCCAAGCTCGAAATAAAGTCGTAGGTGAGGACTGGTTTTTGCTGGAGGACGCCGCGGACGCCTTGGAGCGTCGTGATGATGTCGGCCGAGCACCCGATGAGCGTCACAACAAACAAAATCGCAAGCAACACTTCAATCTCCAACGCGTTGGCGACGACATGTCCACACGCTTTGCCTGTGACGACGGCGATCTTCGAATGCTTGCCATAGCTCCAGCCGGCTTGGCCCTGCACCTTTGTCGACACATCGACGATATGCGCTGTGCACGACGCTTCGATGCCATAGTGCGCACCGAGCGGTGTCGAGTGCACAATGGAGTTGGCGCCATCCGCATACGCCTGCGAGCTCCCATCGACGCCGACGAGGACTCGTTCGACCTTGTCAACGACACTGGTTTGGATATCATTGCTGTCCAAAACATGGTCGTTTGGTTCATCGACGCGTCTGCAAAGACCGTCAAGAGGTACGCGCCGTGGGGGTAGACACTGTCGACAGTGGCGCCTTCGAGAAGAACCATGCCGGCGATGGGTTGGCCGCCGTGCGTCGGGTTGCATTCAGGATAACTGTTGTAGCCTACGAGCAGCTGGACCGACGCCGCCGACAGCTTGTCGTTGCAGCCGACGACGCACGTTGTGACATAGAGCGTGGATGCAGGAGGGACATCGATGAGGTGCGCGAGCTGGTTGCCCGTAGCGACCCACGCAGCGGGCGTCGCGAGCAAGCTCCACTCGGCGCGCGAGCACGAGTTGGGTGCAAACCCCGTTGACGTCAGAAGGCACGACTGTGAGAGGGGTGAAAGACGTCGTTTTCAACGCTGTAGAAAGGAGCCGCCGGTTCAATGCGCCCGCACCAATCGCGACGAAGCTTGTCGACAACGAGAACGAGACCGAGATGTAGGCCGTGAGGTTGGCGAGAAGACGTGTCCAGACTTTGAACGAAGCGCGCTTCTTGCCTTCGGTCGAGGGAGTGGCGTAGGCGCGGGTGCCACTGGAGAACCACGAGGTTCCGTGCGTACTAGCGGTGTGCGCCGGGCTCTGGTGCATCGGTGTTGTACCAAGCGGTTTTGAGCGAAGAGTGAGCACCAGTAAAACCGCATCGCGATAACAATAGACAGTCCAACGTCCCAGACGCAAGTACCGAGAGACCTCGACCAATGGCTATGAAACTACATCCGAGTCGCTAGTTTGTAGTCGCTTGTCTGCGGCATATCTTCTGGTCGACATATGAGTGGCCACTGCACCGCACCACAAACAGTGCGATCTAGTCGTTTTCGAGGATATTTGTGGCTGTGGTTGGCCGAGAGCGACTGAGAGATCTTTGAGCTAGACCAACAGGTCCACGTCTCCATTTTCGTCCAACCATTTAGCTTTTGCATAGGATCCAACACGCTTGGCTTCACGAAGCACTTGTCATCTCTACTTTTTGTCCTCTCTCACCTCGCTTGCATGCTCTAAAGTATGACTTGTCGACAACAACGGAGGTATTCTTTCCAAATACCCCGGCGTTGGCGGGTTAAATTACACTGTTTAGGCGCCATGTGTCGCAACCTCCTGTTGACGCGGCACCAAGAACGTGCTCCGCGTTATATTCGTTACAAAGAGTTCGCATACGTAGCGCTGCGCCTAAATGCGTGGGAGTTGGCACCAGCACTTGGTCGTTGGGAGTGAGCTGCGCACGGAGAGATCCATCCCGTGGTGGACCCCACTCGCCGAGGGTTCGCTCGCTCGAGGTCGTACGCAGGCTCCTGTACTCGGACCACCCGACAGAGGAGTGCAAGCCGTCGGGTGTGTTTCAAACGAAACCGTCCGAGCCCGCATCCGAATAAATCCGGATACCGACCTGGGATATGGAACTGACACCGCACACAAAGGGCCGGGAGGCGACGGGACTTCGTGGAGGCAGGGCGACTGCGCCCGCGGGGTGAAAGCACGGGAGGCCAGCGACGTCTCATCTCCTTGACGGCCGCCGGGGACTCGACGGGCCTGAATCGTCGAGGGGCATTGGGTGCCGAGTGCGCGAAGAGCGCCGCCATCGGCGCGACCACCGATCGCTGCCAGCGACCGTAAACAGCAGAGGACGTAAGACACAGAGCACACAGCGCGCCATAGCCCTGCGGGCGTCGCGGCAAGCCGCGCCGCCTAAGACACTAGGTGCCCTTTGAATCGCGTCACTCAAATCCTGCCAAAAACGCCTGGAAATCGTCGATCAAATGGCTGGCCTTGGCGCCGAGGTCGCTGAAAAAGACGGTCTCACGGCCGCTCTTGAGGAGAAGCAAGGGGTCAAACATCTCGAACACCTCGGCCGACGGCTGGTGGATTGTGCCCTTGGCCTAACTGACGAATGATGATGTCAAGGGCTGCAGATGGCAAGACACGGGAGGAAAGGAATTATTATACTCTATAAAATGGCTGGCAAAAACGTCCCTCTCTTTATTGCGTAACATGATTAATGTACTCGTGATGGCGAGCCTGGTACGACCTGCAGAGTGCAACGAGCTTATCGATTTGTTCCTTGAGTTGCGGTTTGTCGCGGTTGTTGAGCCGGATAAATGTGTGCACAACGGGGGCGCCGACTTGAATGGCATCGACTTGTCGTGCGTCGCACTTCAGGACATCCCGAGCGCGCTCGAGTGCCTCCTTGGTCGCTTCGAAGCAACTCTCGGCAGCGTCGAGCTTGCGGATCACCTTGTTGCGCTGCGCGCGCGAGTCCTGCGACCGGACGACAAAGTTCTTGTCGATGGCGGCGCGAAACGCGTCGAGGCGCCCGATTGCGTCCATGATGGCTCGCAGGCTGTTTTCGATACTCTTCAGCGAGGCCGTACTCGTGGTCTGTGCCTTCTCGAGATGCTCAGCGATCTCGGTGCGCAGAGTCTCCGTGCCTTGCGCGTCATGCGTCGCGAGGTATACCATGAGGTAGCATTCGGCCTCGAAGCACCAGCTGAAGGTGCCTTCCATAGATGTCAAGTGGTGGTCGAGTCCACTGTTCATGCGCTCGCGAATTCGGTCGAGGACTTCGCGTGCGGTACCTGGGTAGTCGTTTTTCTCTTCTAGGAGTGCGAGGACAGTGTCGTCGCAGGGGCCCCAGCTGACGCCGATCGCATCCCGACAGAGCGCGTCATCTCTCACCGAAGCTTGTGTCGTCGAATTCGCTCCCATGGCCGTCAATTGAAATGTAGTTGATGGCACGCAGCAGTGCCACAACTTGATACGGGCTGAACCATCAACAGCTGTTACTGGACCTTGATAGAACCACTTGATACAAATCACATCGACCTCGGGCACTTGATACAAAGTACTATTATAAATGTAGTAGCATGTTTTTATCGACAATTCAGTCGACGGTAACACCCGATAGATGCTCGTGGATTGCCTCCAGAAGGCACCCAACGCTTTTAAAGTCACCGACGCTGCCTTCGAACGCAGCCTCGAGTCGCTCAGCCGAAGGCGAGAGTACATCGTCCAGAGCCATCACGTCGGATGGAGATGCTCTACCTACTCTTTCTCACTCTCAAATCATCCCCTTTTCACCCCTTCTCATTTCACAAACTCTATGCACAATCACTTGCTTTCCCTTGCGGGGAGCCATGCGCAAGCGAATCAAGGAGACGGGGCGGCACGCGTGTGCCAAGGCGAGTGTCTCTTTCACCGTCAAGCTCAGGTAGTTGAAGTCGCGGTGGCTCACATACGATGCAAACTGTGGCATCGTGTTGCCGACAACCTTGAGTGCCGCGCCGTTGTACGTGACGTGGCCGCCAATCGAAAGGTCTTTTGCTTGGCCCGAGAGAAGCTTCATGAGCGACTACTTGCCTGAGCCCGGCTGCCCGAGCACGAGCGGCGTGGGAGCATCATGCACGGCTTGAGGACGCCAGTCATTGGGCGCAACTTGTCCTTCCGCACCAAGCGCTGGGTGCGAACGAGGCCCATGACACTTTCTTGACACTTTCTTGAATTGTTTCCACAAGATTGATAGCTCGTGGCCGTCCTTGGTCGCCCCGGCCACGTCAGCGGTGATTGTAAAGTCCTGGAACCGAATTTCGAGTTACGAAGGCGTCTTACCGAGTAATGCTTCCAACTGCGCTGCCAAGGTGAAGTGGAAGGCGTCTTGAAAGGTGTCCTGGAGAAAGATATCTTCAAGAGTGTGGCGTCGTCAAAGCCAATGGCGAAATGATTGTTTTGGCACCGTAGTGATGCAGAAGCCGCTGCGTTGCACCAACGTCACATGGAGCGAATTTCTAATATTATTTATGCAGCTATCAATATATCAGTTGGGACGGGAGAGGTTCACGAGTGTTGCCAGCCCGTTGGAGGACGTTTTCACCCGTTGGATTGAAGCTCCATGCAGAGAATTGACAATGCCCGGTTGCAGCGGTTGGTGCATAAAGTATCAAACGTTATCTAATTGAATGTCTGGGGCGATAAATAGCGACGGCAGCCTTAAAACGTCTGGTACTCGGCGAGTTCTTCTGCGTGACGGGCTTCCATGCGCTTGATCTCGTCTTCGCACTCGTCGACTTGTTCTTGGAGCTTCTCGCAGAGGGCTTCGAGCTTCCACTTGTCTAGTCATATCAAAGTCTCATGACTGCATCCTGAAACTGACCTTACCGTCGGTCAAGCTGAGCACTTGGGCCTTTGTCGTCGCGAGCTCGGCCGAGAGCTCCGCGACCCGTTCTTCGTGGGCCGCTTTCAGATCGTCCATTTGCTGCGTCATCTCGGTCACAAGCTTCTTTCGGACGCGCACCTCTTGCTGAAAGTGGGCTGCGTCCTTGGCCTGGAGCTCCTTCTGCAGCGCCTTGTTCTCTTCGCGAAGCAGGGCAAGCTCAGGGCTCTTGGACTCGGCAACCGCCAACGACTTGCGGGGCAGAAGGGTCACACGAGCAGGCGCTCGCTTGAGCATCTTCTTCTTAATTGAGGCAGCCTTGTCGTCCTGCGTGGTGTTGGGCGGTGCGTTCTCGGTCGGGCGAGCCGGCATCGACGGCCGCTTGCGCTTCTTGTGCCCGTCCGTGTCGTACTCTTGCTTGGCCACCGACTTGCGCGCTCGGATTGGCGCCGTCACGACGTCCTTGGCGATCGCGCCGTATTCGAGCGTCCGGAGTGTCTCTTCAAACTCCAAGTTGGACGGGTTCACGGCCACGATCATAATGATGCGCCCAGCCCGCGTATGACCGCCGACCAGCGACTCTTGAAACAGCTATGTGTATACAAGTTGAATCGAGCCTGTGACAAGATGAACTGAAGACGTACGCGCGTGAGCTTGGACGACCGGAATGGCACGGGGCGCTTCGCCTTGGGGTTTTGCTGGTTCCAGCGCAGCGTCTCGAGGCACTGGTTGAGGTTCATGAGCGACTTGTTGATGTTGCTCGCCTCTTGGAGCCGGAGACCTGACGCGCCCGTCTTGGCGCCACGCTCGCAGCCTGCAAGGTCGACGATCGAGATCTACATACACAGTGAACGTCCCGAGATCGCCCAAGGGGGCTACCTTGCTCCACAAGCGACTCGGTTCACTCTTGCGGTAGATTTGCAGCGAAAAGACGCAGTGGCTGCGGCTCGAGTCCGAGTTGCAGCGGGTCTCGGCCACTTGGCGGTTCTTCTGACCATACTCGAGCGTCGCCTTGGCGTCGTCGAAGGAAAGGATGCGGCGCTCCTCGAGGTCCTTGACGTGCACGCGGCCGTCTTTTTCCTGCAGCTGGAGGAATGCTCGCCTGTACAGATCCTTGGCACTATATTCCACGTGACAAGAAGGCGTACTTGGGGTTGGCCGGCGCCATGAGGTCGTAGACCTTTTCGTTGTAGATCTCGAGATACGACGCCGTGACGTCATAGTCGTTGGTGTGCTGGAAGAGGTATGCAAAGGTCTCGGGCAGGATGCCCGGGTTCTCGTTGTTGCCTATGGAGTAGCACGCTCGCACGTCGTCGTCGCGCAAGAAAGGCCGAGTACCGAGGATCGTGTACGTCTTGCCCGAGTTGGTCACGCCATACGCAAAGACGAGCCCGTTCTTGCCGTCGAGCGCCTCCTCGACGATCGACTGCGTCGTCTTGGCGAAGAGCTCCTGCTGCGTCGTCTCGGGCCGAAACACTTGGGAAAAGTGGAACGTGACCACGGATTCGTTCAGCCGGCTCACCTAGCACGACGCATGAGGCGGCTACGCTGCGCATGGCTGTGTACTCGTGGCGTCGTGGCCACAAGGCACGTGTCCGAGACGACGCGAAAGACGTCGGCAGCGTCCATGGCTGGGCGCAGCCGGACGTAGATCTACAGGATGGTCCTTGGTCGTCATGGCTTCATGGAATGGACGTCTACCTGGACTTTGTCGACAGGTTTCTTCGGCGCGGTCGGCGTCGGCGGGCCATAGCTGAGCCGGCGCTGGGTCTCGGCCTCGGCAGTCGTCGGTCCGGACACGTCCATGGCACAGGCGCCGTGGTCAATTTGAAAATTCGAGAGGGTACCACCGGATACGAGAATGGTATCCGAATTGTGGGCCTCGATCGTATATTCGGCACATGCCGCATCAAATGTGCCGATTGCCATTGCTGCCGCAAAATTTAGCCATGCGATCTTCCGTATCCAGCCCGCCCTAGAACTGGGTACAGGTATCTCATTCTGGGTCGCGAAGATATAGAGCTTCACCTTCGAATGCAGATACTATTACCTCATGACCAGTACAAATTTATACCGGTAGTCGCACCGCCCCGTTTCTCAAGAACTTCGACGCAGCGCTTGTTCACGGAGTCACCGATTGATTGGCTGTTCGCACGGAGTTCCCGCCTCCTATTGGCGTCAAATCGTAAAGCAGGTGATCTTAACGTCCGTCCAACGTCCAGAAACCGCGGAACCAACTCCTCAAGATATCGCGCCGATGGACTAGACTCATCACCACTTGGCCTCTTTCCATTTCTGACAATGCCCCATACCACGCTGCACATCAGTAGTAGACATGGCAGCTCATGGTTCTCAAGTGGCGCCCGAGCCAGCAGCATGCGCTCGTGTGATGCCAAGAAGCGCGCTTCGTTCAAAGTCTGGGCGCGTCTTCTCGCCAACCTCACGGCCTACATCTCAGTCTCTCTCTCGTTGTGCTCGAGCGTTGTCGCGATTGGTGCCGGCGCATTGAACCGGCGGCTCCTCTTCTACAGCGTTGAAAACGACGTCTTTCACCCCCTCTCACAGTCGTGCCTTCTGACGTCAACGGGGTTTGCACCCAACTCGTGCTCGCGCGCCGAGTGGAGCTTGCTCGCGACGCCCGCTGCGTGGGTCGCTACGGGCAACCAGCTCGCGCACCTCATCGATGTCCCTCCTGCATCCACGCTCTATGTCACAACGTGCGTCGTCGGCTGCAACGACAAGCTGTCGGCGGCGTCGGTCCAGCTGCTCGTGGGCTACAAGAGTTATCCTGAATGCAACCCGACGCACGGCGGCCAACCCATCGCCGGCATGGTTCTTCTTGAAGGCGCCACTGTCGACAGTGTCTACCCCCACGGCGCGTACCTCTTGACGGTCTTTGCAGACGCGTCGATGAACCGAACGACCATGTTTGTCGACAGCAATGATATCAAAACCAGTGTCGTTGACAAGATCGAACGTGTCCTCGTCGGCGTCGATGGGAGCTCGCAGGCGTATGCGGATGGCGCCAACGCCATTGTGCACTCGACACCGCTCGGTGCGCACTATGGTATTGAAGCGTCGTGCACAGCGCAGATCGTCGATGTGTCGACAAAGGTGCAAGGCCAAGCAGGCTGGAGCTATGGCAAGCATTCGAAGATCGCCGTCGTCACAGGCAAAGCGTGTGGACATGTCGTCGCCAACGCGTTGGAGATTGAAGTGTTGCTTGCGATTTTGTTTGTTGTGACGCTCATCGGGTGCTCGGCCGACATCATCACGACGCTCCAAGGCGTCCGCGGCGTCCTCCAGCAAAAACCAGTCCTCACCTACGACTTTATTTCGAGCTTGGAGCGCCGACGAGGTCTCCACTTGGTCGGTATGTGCAACATGTACCCAGCGGCCATCTATCTTGATGTCGGCCGGCTCTACGACGCGTCGTCGACGTACGGCGAGCTCGTGTGGTTTTGCGCCGTCGTCGTCGTCGCCATGCTCTCAGCATGGGGTATGCTATGGCTCAGCTTTTTCATGTCGTCAATTCCAAGTCCACGCGCATTCCTGCGTTATCGGCTGGTTCCCATGTCTGCCTCGGTGCTTTTGTACGCCGGTCTCCTGGCACTCTTCTTTGATCTGCTACCTCGGCACGAGACAATGCACAAAAGTATGATGACCTCCATCACCAACACCCTCACATTGCACATCGACGGGCGAGACTGTCCGTGTGGCGCCTTTGCTACACGTGCAATCTCGTCAGTGATCAACGAAGTTTTACCAGCGATCTTTGGATGGCTCGCGGTCTCTTTTCTTGCCAGTGTGGTCTATGGCGTGTGCAAGCTTCGGCTCTTCAGCGGCAAGTGGCTCCTAGACGCCGCATGGACCAAGGACAATGTCTTTATCAAGGTCTGTGGTGCACCGCATTGGACGACGACACTGCCATTTGACGTGGCTGACACGGTACGCATCGGCCATCGGCTATTCTGCAAGCCGAGCATGGTAGCACGCTTGGGCTTTGTCGCGTTGGCGGCCAAGCCAGCCTCACATCGCGTGGTCGCAGTAGACAGCACGAAAAGCGACGACTTTGCTGTGGTCTACCTCGTGAGCATCTACGACTTTTTTCCGGCGCTGATCCCACCCGCTGGCGAGTGTACGCGCCCAGAATCTTTGGGCAAATCCAGAGCAACGACCTTCAACCGCCCAGTTCACATCGTCTCGCTTCGTCCAAGCAATACACCTCGACACTTGGGTCGTGTGTGGGATAAGCAGTCTACTGAGTGCGCGTGATATTACTACTAGTACGTAGTATTACATATAGCATGCATGCATCCTGGTGGTGGTGTCTATCACATCTGAGCTTGCACAGTCTTGTGGCGCGTTTCACCAAGTGTCATGCCGAAAATAAAAACTTCAATGTGGCACATGTGTATCCGGAAATCGAGTGTTTGGATCCGGAGGATGGCTTTTGGCGCGGACGGGTCACAACACAGCGCGGGCCATGGACGAGTACGACGAAGTCGATGAGTGGGAGATGATGTATGGCGGGGACATGGAGGCCGCCAACGAGCTAGCCGCCATGGAGGACGATTCCCCGCGGGCGCCAGCCCCAGCCCCGGCGGCCCCCATCGCCCCGACGCAACCTGTGGTCCAGGACAGCGATGACCCGATGGGGGAGCCGCCGGTCGTTGCCTACTCGGTCCCTCGCGTCGAGAAGGCGCCAGTACCTCAGCGCGTTCCAGATGCCAAGTACGTCCTCAAGCGACCGGCCCTCGATGTGCGCAGCGTCCCCGTCGTCCTGGCGTCGGGCGAGCGCGTCTTCCTCCGCGCCAAGCAGCCCGACGAAGCACCAACATTGCGCGAGAAGGAAGAGCAGGACAATATGCAGTGCAAGCTCGGCGTCCCCATCAAGGAGATGCTGGCCAGCATCGAAAAGGTATGAGATCCTATCTGTAGTAGCCAGCCTCATAGCATGGCGAGTAGCGCAAGGTGCAAGCAGTCGTCGACGCCGACGATATGGAAGCTGTCGATGCATCGCCAAGCACGCACCACGACGAGCTCTGGCTCAACAAGTACCGCCCGAAGCATTTTATCGATCTCCTCAGCGACGAACGGACGAACCGCGACGTGCTTGGCTGGCTCAAGTCCTGGGACCCGTGCGTCTTCAAGACCAAGCCGAAGCCGTTGCCCAAGCCAGCGTTTCGCTTTGGCGAGGCGTTGGCGCCCGAGCCCGAGCCATCCGACGACATTCGCCCGGAGCACAAGGTGCGTACATCGTCGATGTTGCATCGTCATTCCATGCGGGTGTAGATCATCTTGATTTGCGGACCGCCGGGTGCAGGCAAGACGACGCTGGCAGGGATCGCGGCGCGTCACGCGGGCTACAACCCAATCGAAGTCAATGCGAGCGACGACCGCACGGCCAGCGTCTTGCGCGAAAAGGTACATATTCGTCTCTCTTGGCACATGGTGGACGACGATTGCGGCATTAGATCATTAGCGCCATGGAGATGCAGTCCATCTTCGGGAATGCGCGACCCAATTGCATCATCCTCGACGAGATTGACGGCGCCTTGCACGGCAACGAGGGCCGCGGTGCGATTGCTGCGCTCCAAGACCTCATCGCTGTGCCGTACTCGAATAAGAAGAAGGACAAGGCGGCCAAGAAAAAGAGTGGCCACCCGCTCATTCGGCCGATCATTTGCATTTGCAACGACCAGTACGCGCCCGTGCTGCGGCCGCTGCGGAAGCTCGCAAAAATCTTCGTCCTCGGGACGCCCGACCCGCGCCAGCTCATGTCGCGGCTCAAGTTTATCTGCCGAAACGAGCACCTCGATGCGCCGACGTCGGTTCTCTCGACGCTTTGCACGCGCGCCGACAATGACGTGCGCTTCTGCCTCAACTCGCTTCAATTTGCGAGCGCCAAGACCAAGCAGGTCACGCCGAGCATGGTCGAGGACATTATGGTACGACACATCTTGCTTTTTGCGATTCGTACCGAGATATATGTACCTGATGCTATAGGGTCGAAAAGACTTGAGCAAAGGCGTGTACGATGTCTGGGATGTGGTCTTTTACGAGCCGCGGCAAAAAAAGAAGGAGACCAAAGCCACGGGGTTTGCCCGCGTCTTTGAAGCCGCCGACCGCTTTGGCAGTCCCGACCTCGTCCTCAACGGCCTCCACGACAACATGCTGCAGCTCGTCTTCAACGACCCGACCATGTACACTGAGCACACGTCGATGGGATAACGTAGCACCTCTACGTAGGACCAAGCTGCATGACGCGCTCGAGTGGATGGAGTTTGCCGACTTGTGCGAGTCGCGCATGCGGTCGCACCAGCAGTTTGCGCTTCTGGCGTATGCGGCAATTCCGGCGGTCGCTGTCTCGTACGCGTGCTGCACGGGCGCGCGGCGCCGCATCGAGTACCCAAAATCCCACTACGACGTACATCTTGCTTATCTCTATCCTCAAACGAGGTTTAACATGTCTGGGTAGCACCGCCGGACGCTGGAAAAGTCGCAGAGTATTCTTCAAGCCACGGTCGACGCGAATCCGTCGTTCCGCGTCGGGTCGCGCGTGCTGGCCCTGGACGTCATGCCGTGTCTGCTGCGCATTCTCAACCCGCAGATTGCGTCGCCCAAGGATGAGAAGCGCCAAATGGACCGTCTCGTCGCGCTTCTTGCGTCGCTCCACGTGTCGTACCGGCCCGTGCATCTCCCGGGTGGTATCACCGACTATGTCCTCGAGCCGTGCGTTCTCTGCGTCGTACTGTCCATGGCCCTTAACATGACCTACGCTAGGGCTATCCACGAGCTCGTCCAATACAAGCACTTGGAGTCGGCGCGGTCTCTCTTGCCCATCTCGATGCGACAGCAGTTGGCCCGCGAAGTCGAGCTAGAAACCCTTCGCCGCGCTGAAAAGTCGGATCGGTTCCAAGAGCTGCCGACAACACCGACGACAGCACCGACAACAACGATCCATGCTCCGGCCGCTGAGGCGCCACCGTCGCCCGTGACGGCGCACCCGTTCGGCTACAAGAAGCGGAAGCGTCAAGACGACGTGACGGCGACACGCAAGCGGTACTAGACGCATTGAGCCTATGAGTTCTTAGACACTAGTACAAATGGTAGGTGCCCCGTCCGGTTCAAGTTTAACGAAGGCTACACGAGCGGCATCAAGCGCCCCGTGCTCATCCAAGACTTGTTGTAGTCGACATCTCTTAACTGCATAGTACACTACATGCCAACATACCTTGTCGCTCTCATCTCCGATTGCAACGGACATACCGAGAGACGACTTCCATTGCTCTCTCACCAAGGCATCGAGGTGTACAATAAGATATGGCTGGCTGCTTTTTGCAATTGAAGTCGACGACGAGTGCCAACGTATATCGAGTATATGCACACGGCCATGGGGAAAGCGTGGCGACAGTTTAAGTACATCCAGCGTTTTGACGCGGCTGCATAAAGTAGGACAACATCCGAGGCGCGGCTGGTTCGGTTCTACGAGTGCGCCCATGCCGCGACATAGGTCCTGCCACCGTACGACATGGCTGGCACCGCACTAGCACAGACTCGAGGGAATAATCGTGTATGATTTCCTTGCACATATTGTACTCTCTCGATATGCGTGCGACCTTTGAGGCGCAACTGTCATTCTTGGCCGACTTTTCTACGACGAAACAGTCGCCAAGAGGCCGCTGAGATGGCGCGCGATGCGATTCTGCCCCTCGGCACTGGCTCCGTGCACCGACGCAGCGTGAACAACAACAACAAGAGCACCAGCCACGAACTGCGCAAGTCGGTGGTCGCCCCCGAGGCCAACCACGAGCCTCACTATTATGACGACGACAAGAGGGTCGCCAACCCCGAAGCCGACGCGCCGGAAGAAACGTCGCCGCCGCCAACGAAACACCGACCGTCCTACAGTCGCCCGTACGACCTGCCACCACCCAAGGCACCTCTGCCAAAGGTAATCATCGAGTCTCTCGCCCCAAGCTCCAAAGCTCCTTGACGTAGCGGTGCGTCGCCACAAGCGAGAAAAGCAAAGCCGACGACGAGGTCCCGAGTAGCGTTGTCAACGCGCACTCGCGCACGCTCTTGGAAATGAAGAGGCGCAAGCCGTCGCTCGTGGACCCGAGCCTCAAGGTGGAGGACCGGTACGAGGATATCTCCAGTTTTTTCTCGAGGCGCTCGATATTAGGCTGCAGCAATTGGGCCTTGTGTACGCCCAAAAACAGGCCTCCAAGCAAGCAGTCCACGAGACGACGCAGTGTACGTTTAGCCCGGCCATTTCGTATCACTCGTCCAAGCTCTCGCGCCACGGCAGCGTCCATGACCGCCTCTATGGCCTCGCCAAGGCACCGAACCGAGCAGCCGATTCCACGACACACGCATCCCCCGCAAAGCCATTGCCCTCCAGCACGGCAATATCCACGTCGGTGGGCGACCGGTTGTATCGAAAAGCGCGCGAATTCCAGACCAAGCAAGCCGCCATCCGCGCCGCTGAAGCCGCCGAAGCTGCGCAACTGCGGGTAGGTATACCCCTTTGTCCATGTACACGTCCGAGCGGAACGGGATTAGAACGCGCGCAAGATGAGCGCCAAGAGTCTGCGCCTCGTGGAGCGCACCAAGCCGCCCGCGACAACGTCTACCGTAAGCCCGCCGGCCCGTGCCAAGCAAGTGACGCCCGCCGAAGCCCGCGCCATCTACGAGCGGCAGCTGCAGTGGAAGGAAGCCAAGGACGCGAGAAGCGCTCGCATGCGCTGGCAACAAGATCAGGACGAGCAGCAAGCGTGCACCTTCCAGAACCCGTATGCCGACATCTCGACGCCGCCGCCGTCGCACGACGCGTCGTTCTTTCACAAGGCGATCGAGTGGGCCAAGGCCAAGGACGCGCTGGTGCGTCAGAAGCAGCAAGCCCGCCAAGCCGACGAGCTCGCGGCCTGTCCGTTCAAGCCCCAGCGACCAGCACGACCGCGCCGAAGAGACATGAGCAGTCTCGAGGCCATCGTCGCCACGTTCCAAGCGGTACCTTGATAGCACCGGGCGTCGATGTATGCGCTCATATGTGTGTAGGAACACTATGCGCACGCCCCACTGCCGTACCCGTGGGAGGCTTACACCGATGCTTTGGGCAACGACTACTACTATAACCCCGCCACAAAGACGACCCAGTGGGGTCGGCCGACGTGAGAAGAGATATAGCATGCAAGACACGATTCGCTGGACGCTTAATACTTGGGCGCGACTGTGTTGAGGCCAAAGCCCTTGATCGTCTGGAGGAACGTGGTCTCGAACGGCATGAGTTGCACCTACCACCGTAGTGAGATGCGATGCGGGAGAGCAGCGCTGCCTTCGTACCTCGGTCTGGCGGAGCGAGATGATCTGGCGCATGACGTCAATGTACTTGAGGGCGAGGAGGTAGCGCAGCGGGTCTTCGCCGCTGCGGGTCACCACCTTGGAGATCTAGACTCAATTGTGAGGCGACTGTCTCTGAGAAAGAGGCGAGAGAGAATGACCTCCTTGATACTGCGGGCTTCGGCGTTGGCCGCGTTGACGATGGCTTGCGCTTCACCACGCGCTACGACACGATGAGCGACAAGGTATGTGAAAGGCGTGTACCGCGGGAGAGCGCTTGCTGGGCCTCGCCTTCCGACTCTTTGATCATGCGATCGCGGTTGCCTTCCGAGTTGATGACCGTCGTTTGCTTGGACGCCTTGGCCTGGATGATGATTTCCTTGTTGTTGAGATCGGCCTGCTTCTTCGCGGCGAGCACTTGGCTGAGTCGACCCGCGTCGACGCGCTGGATCTTGACCATGGAGATCTTGACGCCATACTGGACCGACGCGGCGTCCATGAGCCCCGAGACGCGGTCCATCTGCGCCGTGTCTTCAATGATCTGGTCGACGTCGAGCGAGCCAGCGACATTGCGGATTTGCGCTTGAAGGAGGACGCTGAGGAGGTGCGGGAGGTTCTGCACCGAGTAAATGTACGTCTTCGGGCTCGTGATCGAGTACTGGAGGACGGCGTCGAGGAAGATGGCGGCGTTATCGCGCGTGATGACCGGCTGCTTGGGAAAGTCGAGCACCTCGTTCTGCGTCGAGATCGTCGAGAGATTCCGCTTATCGACAAGGGTCAAGCGCGCGTTGACGTCGACAATGTACTTTTGGTGGTGCGTCCGCGGCGTGTCCACGAACGGGATGATGACGTGGAAGCCTGGCGTGAGGATCGTGTGGAAGCGGCCAAAGCGCTCGACGACCATGACCTCCTTTTCCTTGATGATCTTGACGCCCTTGGAGACAATGAGGAGCACGAGAAGCACCGCGACGGCGACGGGCAGGACGATCGCAACAGTAGTGTCCATGCTCGTTTGACAGACCAAATTGCACTTTGAGTTTCGCGTTGTACTTTTTAGTTGAGTGGATTGTTTTTTTGTATTTTAATGCGTGTATTTATTTAAATGCATACGTCCAGTCGCAGGGACGTGACGGCGACGATGCGGCGATATTAATGAGGTAGCGCGTAGCAGCGACTGCATCGGTATGTATCATACGGTAGTGGGCCGAATAAACATGTCGGCAGTTGAGAAGGAAGCGCCAGAGAGCGCAATCGAACCAGAGACCTCGACGAGCGCACCGTTTGACAGCACGAAAAACGAATTAAAATACACGCGGCCAGTGCGAGAAAAACGCTGATTGGACAGCGCGAGCGAATTTCGTAGTGCAAAAACGAAGTTCGAAGGGTGGGAGAAACTGATTTGTCCCAAACGGCCAAGCAAGCGAGGACAGATTTGGCCGTGAAGAGTGCTACGAGGTGCAATACCTGTGTGAGGAAATATTGCGTGCGCACGAGCTGATGCACGACGCGGTCGTTGCAACGGCGGTGCCATCATGTAGTGTTTACATGGCGAAGAGGTGACCGATCTTTTGAGATCGCTTAGAACCGGATACGCTGGAGTATCCGGAAGATAGGTAAATCCCAGCGGCAGGTTTTGCCCACGTTCGATTCAAACGATGGCAACCGAGGTGGCATCTGTGGACGGTGGCGCAGCCAAGGCGACGTGGAGCGTGAAGCGGACGCGCGAGCTCTTCGCGGCCGAGCCCGAGGCCTTTGACGTCGACGAGCAGAGCCAGCAGACGCACATCCAGGTCAAGTTCCGGGCGCGGTATGCCAACGTGCCCGAGATCAAGCCGAGCCAGCTCAAGAAGGCCAAGGTCACGACGGTCGCCACAAACATCCCGGCGCCGGTCGTCGCCGAGGTCATCGACACGGTAGCCGACGAGGTGCCTGCGCTCGACGCCAATGACGAGACAGCCGACGTTGTTGGCAAAGCCGTCGAAGCCCTCGCCAAGCAAGAAGCGGCAGCGGCCGCTGCCAACCCGACCCACAATTCGGCGCTTGTCGAGTACAAGAAGGAGACGACATTTAGCGCGCAGTTTGCTTCGTCGTCGTCGACAGCTCTTGTGCGCCGCCGCCTAGCGCAGGAGGTGCCCAAGCCGCAGTGGCACGCGCCATGGAAGCTCAAGCGCGTGATTGCGGGGCACCTCGGCTGGGTCCGGTCCGTGGCTGTCGACCCGACCAACGAGTGGTTTGTCACGGGCTCGGCCGACCGCACGATCAAGGTGTGGGACCTCGCGTCCGGCCAGCTCAAGCTCACGCTGACGGGCCACATCAACGCGATCCGCGGCCTCGCTGTAAGCGACCGCCACCCGTACCTCTTTTCGTGCTCGGAGGACAAGAAGGTACTGTGCTGGGACTTGGAGTACAACAAGGTCATCCGCAGCTACCACGGCCACCTCTCCGGCGTCTTTAGCCTCAAGCTGCACCCGACGCTCGACGTGCTTGTGACCGGCGGCCGCGACGCTGTCGCGCGCGTTTGGGACATGCGCACCAAGCAGCAGATCCACGTGCTCTCGGGCCACCAGGGCACGGTGTGGTGCCTCGAGACGCAGCCGACGGACCCGCAGATTCTCTCGGGCGCGGCCGACGGCACGGTCAAGCTCTGGGACCTCGCGGCCGGGAAGGCCATGACGACGCTCACGAACCACAAGAAGGCGGTGCGTGCGATGGCGTGCTCGCCGAACGACCACTCGTTCCTCACGGGCGCGGCCGACAACCTCAAGAAATGGCAGACGCGCGACGGCAAGTTCCTCCGCAACCTCTCGGGCCACAACGCGATCATCAACGCGGTCTGCATGAACCAAGACAACGTGGCGGTCTCGGCCGCCGACAACGGCACGATGCGCTTCTGGGACTACACCACGGGCTACAACTTCCAGAAGGAAGCCACGATCGTGCAGCCCGGGTCGCTCGACTCGGAGGCCGGCATTTACGCCGCGACCTTTGACAAGACGGGGCTGCGTTTGATCACGGCCGAGGCCGACAAAACCATCAAGATCTGGCAGGAAGACGCGACCGCAACGCCCGACTCGCACCCGATCGACATGTCGGGCTGGACCAAGGAGTTTACGGCGCCCAAGCGCTTTTAATCGAGTATCCCTACTATATGCATGCATCGACGACTGTGTCAACCTTCTTGCGACATTGCTTGGTGGTCGAATGGCCATCGATGTGTGAGGTATGCCCAGCACACGGAGCTCTGCGTGACGCGGTCACGAACTAGGTAGTGTCCGTTCTGTGTTTAACGCCTAACCCTACTGGGTCCGAAGAGCCGTCGCCTGGGTACATGTACTGGACGGCATTGTGCATCAGTAGGTTGTCGCGTGAGTGCTGTGGCCATGTGCTGCAGGTGGCAGCTGGAGGGTGCGAGCTTTGAACCTTAATTAATCTACGTTTACGACTCTTTAAGTTTTCCGAGGGAATATGTGCACTAACTATCTGCAATTCTACTATCTACAGTCTATAATTCTACCATCTGCTACTCTACGATCGAATAGATTGATGGGACTAGAGCGGGCCATAGCGGGACGTGGGCTCGATCGTGTACTTTTGAATGTTGCTGTCGAGCTGGAGCGCGGCCGACCGCTTGTAATGACTCTCTCGCTCGGCCAAGAGCACTGCGTCGTCTACGCATGCGACATGCATGAGGCATATTGTCCATAAGACACTATTGTATACCTTTGGTGTCGAGCTGCGTGATCGCATAGGCCGTATCCAGGGCAGAGAGGAAGCCGCGGTTGATGCCAAGCCCTTGCGGCCAGAACGGCTCCATGAGCGCGTCGCCAACGAGCGCCACGTAGAGCTTGGCGGCGCCGTCCGTAAGCACGTCCGACGCCTAGCATTCGAGCATAAGGTCCAGGGTTCGAGCCCGTCGAGTCGCTACCTTTTCCGCACGAAGGGTGCGGCTAAAGTCGAACACGTTGGCGCCTTCGAGCGGGCCTTGCATCGGAATCTTGAAAAACTCGAAGGCTTTTGTCACAAACTGCCGGAGCTTCGTCGCGTCAATGTTGTCGGGGTGCACAAGCGGCGTGTGGTTCGACTGCTTCAACACGCCTTGCTCGAGCAAGTTCTTGGCCTTGGGCGTCATGACGACGTAGTGGACCTCGCCGCGGTAGTAGACAGCGTTCTCCAAGTCGAGGCCGAGGTCCCGGAGCTCGCCAAACATTTTCTGGTTGTATTGGTACCCCCACGAAAACTCCGACACTTGGCTCTCCTCGCTACACAAAAAATCATCAAAATGCGTGGCACGAAGAGGATCGAAGCCGTACCGAGTGCGCGTGTTGGCCACATAGCCCAACACGCCGTACGCCGGGCTCGGCGAGAACGCAATGCGCTGAATGTTGGCGAGCGCGCCGACCGTGTCGTACATGCCACCGGCCCCGACGACCGCCGACACGTGCTGCAAGTGCGACGGCAGCGCCGGCGTCGCGTTCACGCAGTAGCCGCCGTCGGTTGCCATGACGCCATCAAAGCTCGTGTTGCCAAGGACTACGGATGCATACTTGAGATGATACACCTTTCCCATCCTGTCGATAGGTATTACCAGTGACGCCGAGGAGGAGCGCGACTTTGAGCAAAATGCACTGGAGCTGGCGCGTCCCGACGTGGAAGTAGACGGACGAGGTACAAAACTACAATGCTATGAGACACATTTCGCCAACAGGCCAAGACGTACTTGGCTGTAAAAGGCCTTGGCACCGAGGCTCGTGAGGTCGTGGACCACCCACGGAAAGAGGTGCAGGATGTTTTCCCGCGTGAACGACGGCCGCTTCTCGAGCACGACGACCTGCGCGCCGAGAAGCGCGAGCTCGATCGCCGTGCGCAAGCCAACAGGGCCTGCGCCCACAATGCACACACGCTAGTAGCGATGAGACGACTTGTGTCGATCGATGGGTTGGAAGAAGGACGTACCCGCGCCGCTGCCGCGTGGCTCTTGTAGAGCGCATGGGACTTTTGCTTGGCGTCGAGGATCTCGAAAATGCGGCTTTGGCGAAAGGTGAGGAGCCGCTTGAGGCCGTGCTAAAACAGGAGGCATGCAGTGGATGCATGGAATTTAGACATGTATTACCTTGAGGAGCGGGTAGATGGAAATGTCGCGCCGATGCGACGTGTCGATCGAGAGGCCGCGCACGACCGTCTCAAAGCCGTTCATGATGCCCTCGAAATCCTAGTATGATATTATTGGAAGTTGGTCAAGTTGCCATGCATTCGATAGACAATACCTGGCTGGATTCGAAGCGCACCATGGCGGCCACAAGCGAGTCCTTGAGCGCGTCCGTCATCTGCGCCTTGTGGGCCGCTGTTGGCGCCGGCGTCACAGGCACACAGAAGAACGTATTCGCGAGCATCGGCGTTGCAGAGTCCTTGTTGGACGGCGACAGAAGCGGGTCGTCGTCGCTCTCCGAGTCGCTAAAGCATGCTGGCTTGCCAAAGGTGGCCTGCTTGGGCGAGAGCTGCTTCTCGAGCACCGTGTAGTCTACCCACAGTCCATACGTTCCTATCGCTATGACATCGAGAGGTCCAGTACCCGAGAGACCCGAGAGCACGTCAAAGCAGCTCTGGAGGTCCTGCGCGCATGCGCCGTACATTTGCGCAATCGTGTCGGGCAGCAAATCGGGAAAGAGCTCGGTGAGCGTCGCCACGTGGTCGGGCACGTTCGGGTTGACTTGACGAAGCACTTGCTTTCGGAACGCACGGATCTTGGTCGCTTGCTGCACTTGCTGGATCGAGACGGTCGCGTGCTGCCGGTTGCCCACGCTGGCGAGCGCCGACTTGTCGAAGCCCCGGAGCGCCGCGCCAATCTGCGCCGGCAACGTCTTGAGCGACAGCATCGTGTCGACGTGGCGCAAGAGCAAGTGCACTTTGGTGGCGGTGGCCGCATCGGCGTCGGTCCAGCTGTTGCACGCGACGCGGATTGCATCGAGCGTCTCGAGCACTTGGGCTTGGAGCGACGCCACCGAGACGGACGACCGCGCGCGCGGACTCGTCGAGGTACTGCGCTTGGCGACGACAAGCGCCACGTTCTTGGACGCGCCGTACGTTGGCACGGCCACGAGCGTGTCGGAGACCAAGTGCGTCGGGAAGCTGCTGTCCGAGGCGGACTTGACCAGCGACCGGCGGCGCGGCACCGGCGCGGACGCCGGCGGCGGCCACACGAAGGATTTGGACAAGCTCGTACGCGGCGCGTCGTCGATCGACGACATCGAGTGACGCGAGGCACTCGGGCTGCTCATGGGCGACGCCTCGGACGCACTACTGTCCTTCTTGCTGGATCGGCGGCGCGAGATCTCACGGGCGAGCTCCGCGTGCTTGTCCACGGTCGGCGCGCGCGTCGTTGGAATCTTCGGTGGTGCATCCAATGGTGTCTCGGTGCGCGGCGAAGGCGGGCGGCGCTCAAAGGCTTTGTAAATGCCAACCCAGCTAAACGCCTCGGGCGTTGCCGTCGCGTCGGTGGCAACAAGGCTCGACAACACCTACGCAAACAGAGATGAGAATGAAATGCATCGTCGTCGGTCCGGTAAATTACGCTGCAAAACTGGTCGCGTGGCACGAAGCCGTCACCCGTGCTGTCCATCTCGGTGATGAGCTGCCACGCCGTTGCGAGCGGGAGGCCACGCACCGCGCCGGCCAAGTCGTCGACACACACCCGGTTGTCCTTGTTGCCTACACGATAGTCTTTCCATGAGCATGGAGCGTCGTCGCGTCATGCGTGTGACCGTCGAGGTGCACGAAGAGCGCATCGAGCAAGGTCCTGTCGTCGGTCATTGCAATCGCCGTCTGGCCGACGTTGACATTTGGACGCAGAATGCAGGTCGTGCTTCCGGCCATCGCTTGAAATTTCGAAGCGGCATACAAACACCAAGATGAAGGCACGTGCGACGGGGCGGCTTCTAAATTTAGACATTCACCCAAGTCCGACAAACGAGGGCATCCATCGGATTCGCAAGCTACTTGTTGAAGCTCAAGAGTGCAGTGGCCAGGGATCTTTGAAGCATCATGGGCGCAGATGACGCAGCTGCGAAGCGCGCGACATTCCTCTCAGCGCGCCGCGTCCTCAAATCGTTGCACCTCGGCCGCGACTATGGCAGCGTCCGCGTGCTCGGGTCGCAGGCCGTCAACGCCGCGTCGCACGGCGTCTTGGGTGGCCTCTGCGTCCACAGCCTCAACCACACGCTCTTGGTCTGCGACGTGACCCATGCGTGCATTCGCGTGCTGGACGTACGGTCCCGCGCCGTGCTCCACTCGATCGGCAGCCGCGGCGGCAACCCTGGAAAATTCATCGAGCCCGTCGGCATTGCGCTGAATGCGCTGAATGGCCACTTTGCGGTCTCAGATGCCAAGCTCAACCGGATTCAAGTGTTCTCCATGCAGTACGAGCTACTCGGGCACTTTGGGAAGCCAGGCAATGACGCAGACGAGTTTCAGACTGTAGCGGGTCTGAGTTATACGCACGACGGTCGCCACTTGGTCATCGCCGACAAGGGCAACCACCGCGTCAAGATCGTGACACCGCAAGGACTGTTGGTGCGCATCATTGGCGAATTTGGTGACAAGAGCCACCAGTTCAACGTACGTCGAGAAGTCCCACTCTGGTCCATGGAGCCAGTGGCAGAGTAGGATGTGGTGAGAGGGGTCCGCCTCATCGTCTTCTTTCCACTTCGTGTAGTCACCCTGCGACGTGGCAGTCAACAAACGCGCCGAGCTCTTCGTTGCCGACCGCGAGAACAACCGCGTTAGCGTCTTCTCGCACCTCGGCGAGTTCATCCTCTACTGGTTCGTCCCAAGCCCGCACAGCGTCGCGATTGCGATAGAGGATGCGACCAGTGGCGACGCGGGCGACATTGTGGTCTGCGATGCGCAGCACCTGCGGGTGTTTTCGCAGACGGGGTTGCTCGCGCTCCAAGTGCTTCTGCCGGACACGACAGGTGTCGTGTACGCACAGAAACGCTTTCTTCTCACCCAATTGCCATCACTCGTGACATTCTGTGCACCCTACACGTACTAATCCTACGTCTGCACCAATCACCACGATTGACATGTCGTGGTCCAGGAGCGTTGCTGCCGGCGCGCTCACCATCTTGCCTGTCGCCGCGTTCGAGATGGTCTTGCAGTATCTCTCGTACCAGGATGCGATTCCGCTGCGTCAGACCAACCGGTGCGTCGTTGTCTTTTCTCTTTTCTTGGCGTTCGGATGACTAACACGTCGGTGTACTGTGTACTATGATAGGTTTTTCCATCGGACATGCAAACATCTCCGCGACACGTGGCAGCTCTTCCCGCTCACAATCGGCGAGTCGCCGCGGCGCCACTACGGTGTCCTTGTCGCAAAAGCCTCTGGCCTCAAAGCCATCCATGCCCTCTACGCAAAGTGGGGCGAGCAGTCGTACGCGGTCATTCCGCGGCCCGAGACGCACGGGCTCAGGTTTGCCTCGACGTTCCAAAGCGCAATCTGCGAACACTTTGGTCCGATGTTTTGGTTTCAGCACGAGCCGTCGCTTCTCATCATCTTCCAGTACTACGCTGACGCGGACAAAGTGCTTCGGCGCAAGGGCTTCATCGAGCTCGTCACAGTGCTCACCGAGATCCAAGCCAATGTCCTCGAGTGGCACCACTGCCGTGCCTTTGCCGACGCCCGTCGGTCGGTGCCAATGCGACGAAAACAATCTGTCTCGGGGCTCGAGCGACTTGAAGCGGCGCAGAATTACCAGCTCGATAAGCTCGTGTCCAAGCTAAAATCATTGGTTTAGAGCGCTTCGATGGCAAGCGAATGGGCGTGTCGACGGCTGGCTGTGGTGTCATGCACCTCCAACACTGAAGCAGCGTTGAACTAGCGACACATACAGGTACCATGGGCGAAAAGACCTGCAAACGCATCATCGCCCGTCGCCAAGGTTTGATGTACATGGGTCGCGGGCCTTGTATGTGGCCTTGGAGGATCAAACGCGCCGCCGCAGCAGCCACACAAGTCCGAGCTGTGGCGGATATACAGCGAGCTCGTGGCCCGCTGCAAGCTGCGTTCGACACAACGACGTCAGAATGATGGTCGAATGGATCTTCGCCGCAACTGTCGCGATTCCATTGGTCAAAATACAGCCAATGAAGCGTCGCGCAGAAATTTTGTTTTTGATTGACGCATTTCACATTCAACCCGCAGTAGGAAGAGCACCGTCAGCAGCCGTCTCGGTCGACCCCGAGGCCAACTTGAAGCTCTATGCGAGGTGCCAGGACGATGCCAATATGTATGCCCTCCCCGTCGCCAGAATTCGAGCATCCTTGCTTTCTGAAGAGACACATGAACGACGTTGCACCTTGTTTGCTGGCTTTTAAGCGCTTTGAGGACTGGGCTTTGCAACGAGCGGTCTGCTTTGAGACCTGCAACATGATAACGGCGATGATCGAGGAGCGTTGGGACGACGTACGCTTCAGCCTGCCGTCCGCGATCTCCAATGCCGCAAGATTGCAGCGCGCCGACGTCTTTAAGTGGCTTTGCAACCAGTAACCCACGGCCTGCTTTGACGCCTGCTATACTCTCACGCCCCTTCTCTACTACGTCTCCAGCGCCCCCAACCTGCGTGCTGCGACCCGCACGTATCTGACGATCAAGCCTAGCACGTCGACATAGAGCCAGGTTTGTCGATGGCTCATGGAGTCGACCCGCCGCGTCTACGGCTCTATCGTCCGCACCCTTCAAGAGTGCCTGCTTCTGTGCCTACGTTTCGTTCGGATCATTTTATGTTGCATGGCAGCTCTTTACGTGACTTGCGTACGGTCTGTGCTAGCAAAGCCAAAAATCATCTATCAAACCTTGGTACCACCAAGGGGATGAAATAATGTCGAGTCGTCAAAGCTACGTGTCGGTTCGATAAGAAGCTCGTGAGCGAGCTAGAGTCGATGGGTTCAAGGGGTCCGTTCCAATCCCAAGAGAAAGGAGGAATCAACGGTTGCGTACAGACCAGCAATGCAATGCCCGCCGTCCATGTGCCATGTGACGTCCGGTAGTGCTTCAAATGGCTCGAGCGTACGAGAGCAGCGGCGAGTCGATGGTCGTGACGCAAGGTTGCCGAGGTGGACACCAAGGTGCACTGCGCGCGCCGTCAGTACCCGACACATATACAGAAACGAACGACGCACGTGACGAGGTGTCGGAGACGCCGAGCACCTCATGCAGCTCGATCGTCGACTCAAGCAGGCGGCCGTTGTGCACAAAGCAAATCGAGACAGCGTCCACGACGACCGGCTTGGAGCACATATTGGCAATCGATAGCGTCACCTATATCATGACAAGAAGCATCACTGCGCAAAGAGGTGCTGGAAATGTACGAGCGCGTCTGGATGCACAAGCGTCTTCATGGCGGCGTTGGCTTCGCAGAGCATTATTTCGAGAACTACATCCATCCATGAGGTGTAAGAAGATACGCAGAAGCACGTACTCGATGGTTCGCTGTCGCGTCGCGCCTTGCTCTGCGTAGAGCTCAGCCACCTAATGCAATGAACATGCATGACCATGCAGCACCTTGATTAACGACCCGGCGGCGTCGCAGCGCTCCATGTCCATCCACCGAAAGAGGATCAGCGCCGCCGTCGAGAACGTCTTCCACTACGTCATTAGAAGGATGCGTCGGTCGCTGCATCATGGGAAGGAAGGATGGATCGTACCAAGAGCTCGTGGGCGAGCACGAGGTTGTGCACGTCGTCGAGGAGGACGCAGCGCTCAAACATCTTGTTGGCGCTTGTACTTGTCGAGTCTGACACATGGAGCGCCGCCGCATGGAGATCGATTTGACCGCGGATGGTATTGGTCTCTTGGCGGACGCGGTCGCTCGAGGTCGGGAAGAGGTCGCGGAAGGCGTCGATAGCAGTTCCGAGGCTTGCATGGAGGGCGTCGTCGACTTCCAGAAGTGCCCGGAGCTACATCCGCTGGATGAACCACCATCCTGGATGATTCACACACACAGACCTCGTCTTCCACTCGGTTCTCCATGCTCCTTCTTCCGGGCGCGATTGAAAATGAAGATCGAGCCCTAGTTCAAAGCAGGAAGGTGGCGTGATTCAAGTCAGATTAGGATTAGGATGAGGCAATGTCCGAATCGGGATGATGATCTTGGTCGTGAGCTGGCGATCGCAGGTTGCACTTTCGATTACATCAAATTCTTGCGACCGCTCATGCATCTACCTTCTCCATAGAAGTACCAAGATCGCAACTGTAATGCAAAGTAGATGAAGAAGGCATACCACAGCAGTGTGCTCCCGAGAAAACGATGGGCCGCAAGCCTGCATCGATGTGTCGAGCAGTGTCGACAGTATCGATACGAGTTCACGGCGCCACGTTTTCAGTGCAGCACACTGTAAGTAGTTAGTAGACTGTCCACTGGAAGGTTGATCTACGGAGGTCGTCTACTCGTCCAGCGACTACAAGCGCCAGCATTGCAACATCAATTGGGATGCATGTCGCGATGTACCTCGATGACACGGCGTCAGCCAAGCGCCTTCTCGAGCATTTCAGCCTACCAAATAGCATACATCATGTGATCATATTTCGCCGAGTCGTACCCGATGCGAGAAATTGATGTCTATGGAGCCCATGTCCTGGAGTGGGGCTCGCCGTCGACTTGGACAGGCAGCAACTCACAAAGCTTGAGCTTGATCGACATGCCTTGGCAGACGCGCGTGGCGCTGGCGAGTCCGAGCTAGTATACAGAACATTGGTAGCCAGCGCAGAGAAAACGAGCAGCACGATACGTGAATGGCGCCCTGCTGAATCGTGCTGCCGACAGCCACGACATCGAGGAGGCCGTCGTCCATAGCGGTCGGGTGGAACGCCGTGCGCTGGCCTTGCGCGTCCTATGGCAGGCATTCGTCGTTTGACGAGATAGCATCGAATACCGGCTGGCCATAGGCGGGCGTAGCATCATTGCGCCAAAGCTTGGTGCCGCCAGCCTATATTCGATTCACAAAACATGACGACAGGGGGTAGACAAGTAAGTAGTTTGTACGTAGCTGTCGATGTTGGTGACGATGACCGCTTCCGTGTCGTCGGGGAGCTTGATGCGCTGGCCGTCGCAATACAGCTTGATCTTGGTCTCGAGATTGGCGCACGTCGGCGCGGCCAGGTTCTTGGCACCGTACTATATACCATGCTGCAGTACACATACCAGTAGCCACGAAGCGCATCGACGTACCCCGGCGTACCAGACCTTGTTGGTCGATTGGTTTGCAAAGAGCCAAGGCCAATTCTTGCGCTTCTCGTGAAACTCGAGCGCCACCTGCGCGTCGACACCGACGCCTACGTATGGACGTGAAATGACCGAGAAAGCAGGCGCGTTACTAAAGTAGTTCTGGAGTGTGCTCGTCTTCCGCCCGGTCATGGTAATGCGCCAGCAATCCAGGGCGCGCGTGCCGGCGTTGGCAATGTCGCGCAACGTGTCTACGGCAATAACATCGCCAGCTTGAGCATGCGTCAAGCGCAAGGCGTCGTCGTACCAGAGATGGGCTACGCAGCATCAATATAGGCTATCGTAAAGGTAGGATATACCCCACGAGCGTAGCCACCGCCCCAGTTCAAGGAGCGCGCCAGGTCGTTGCCCGTACCGAGCGGCAGGATCGCGACAGGGGGCTGAAAATGGAGCTGATTCTCTTCCACGAGATTGCGGATCGCGCCGAGCACCTATGCGTGATACATACATACCCCACAAAAGAAGACAAGAGAATGCACCCAGCCCACGGTGCCATCGCCGCCGCACACGACGATCTTGAGGCCTTGCACGTGGCGAAACTGGATGAGCGCGCTTCGCGGACCGCCCGAGGCATGCAAATCGTAGATCTAACCCAATCACACGAGTGTGGCGGGAGCAGTAGGCGCACCTGAAGCGGGTTGAGATGCTTGAGATATTGCTGCACGACGTAAGCGCCTTGCTGGCCGCCGCTTTTGCCGTTGATAAACACTGCATTTTCACGGTCATGCATGGCAAATAGGTTCATGCATCGTACCCAGGAGTGGTGTCGTCGTGCGCGGTGCTTGGATCGTGTACGGCTGCACATCGTCGACGTCGTCGTCCAGGATGACGATCGGGTTGGTTGCCGTCCTACGCGATCGTCCGGATGTGGGCTCCATCTCGCAGGATGCAAGGTACCCCGTAACGGGCGCGTGTCGGACGACCGTCGCCGAGCCAAAGATGCGAATCAAATTCCTACAGAAAAGGACAGTGTGGGCTCAAAACGTGTGATGTACATGATCGCCTGTTGCGACAGCGCAGCCGGCTGCGTGGTGTTGGCAGCTGCTACCGACGTGTCTTGCGTCTTCACCGACGTCGGCGCCAAGACGAGGCGACGGTGCGGCCCGTAGCCGCACGTCTGGGTGCGACCGCACGCTGCGTGCACCACGTCACGGCACCACGCGCACTGGAACGAGGTCGTTCGGAAGCACGAGGCGTCGCAAATCGCACAATAGCTGCCCGAGTCGAAGTTGTTCTTGACCCACAAATGGGAGTCGTGGGTCGCGTTGGCGGCGACTTTGCACCGGCAGCCTTGGTCGCCGCCCGATGGCCAAAGAGCGCAGCCTTCGTGCGCCTTCTTGCCGCAGACGTCGCATGCGAGGACGAAGCGCCACGCGTTGTTCGCGACCGAGTCGCACACGTTGCACCAATGAGGTCTATCCAGGCGACATGAGACCCACGTTCATCGGCAGACGATGCACATGTACCCGGCGCGGTCTTCGAGGCGCCACTGGTGACGGCCGAGGACGTAGGGCTTACCTTGGTAGCGGTGCTTGAGGCACCAGAGGCAGATGGTCCGCGCGACGACGACAGCGATGACAGCGGCGACGACGACGGCGATGGTCGTGTTCATGCTTGGCCGTGGGAGCAAATTGAAAAATGAGCCTTCTCTGTCCGGATACGCATCCGGATGATTCGCCATCTGACGTGGCAGTCTGTACGGCGAGAACCCTCGAGCGAAATAAACAACGTCCGTCGCAAGGACCACGGAGCGCGTAACCACAGTCCCCACTGGTATATATGCAACTGTGTTTGCGCGTCCACAAACGTCTGTCGTCATGCCTTGCTCTGTAAAACTACCTGCGACCGAGCGAGCGCCCCACTGCATTTGATAGCCCCATACATGTATCCTTTTTATGAGGCTGCAAGCTCGTATTTGGGGGTCTTATCACATGTTGTACTCGACCGAGGACCGCTTCGTCGGCAGCGACTTGGATTTGACGCGCCGAACGATTTCAGCGAGAAGAATGTCGCGCTGTGTCCATGTGATGATCTTGGAATGGCCCGCCCAATCCAGCGTCTAGATCCAGTAACATTGCAGAAACTGGATACGAAGGTAGGACAAAATGAGTACCTCTGCGACCTGGCGGGCGACCGTGTCGCGCTCTTCGATCGTCTTGCCGAGCATAAAGGCCTAGGAGACATCCGCCTTGTTTTCGTCCCGGTACACGAAGCATCCAAGTCGTACCTGGTGGAAGAACGAAATGTCAATGTCGCATGCGTCTTGCATGCGCGGCTCGCCGTCAATCTGAATCGGGAGTCGCTCGAGGAGCTTGATTTCAATGTGCTTGCATTGACAGAGACGAATTGCTTTCGAAAGCCCGACCTAGCACCCCATGAGCATACATACCTCCGTCGTTCCTACACACGATACCTGGAGCTGGCCCAAATGAAGGGTGCCAGTGACAGCCACGACATCCAGCAGACCATCTTGCATCGAGGCAGGTCCAAAAAGCGTTGCTGGCCCTGCTATAGCCGCACTGCATCCTCCAATCTACCAAGGACGAGGTGTACCGGCTGCATAAACGTATATTCGTTGTCGACGTCGACGTCGTGCCACAGCACCGAGCCGCCGCCCTACGCCCATCCATATTGGTTTCATTCCAGACAGGCAAACGAGAGTACGTACATAGCTGTTGATGTTGGCGACGATGACGCCTTCGATACCCGACGGCAGCGCGATGGGCTCGCCATCGCACACAAGCTGGATCTTGGTTTCGAGATTGGCGCACGTCCGCGTGATAAAGTTCTTGGCGCCAAACTACGTGCAGAACAACGTCAGCAAGGCGCGTCGATTCTGTCTGCGGTCCGTACCCGGCTGTACCAGAGCTTGTTGATAAACTGACTCATAAAGAGCGCTGGCGACCGCTCGCGCTGCTCGTGAAACTCGAGTGCCACTTGAGCGTCGACACCGACGCCTACGTTAGATATGTAAAAAAGAAATCCAAAAGTCGCCACGTACCAAAGTAGTTGTTGAGCACACAGTGCTTGGCACCGTTGAGGTCGACGCGCCAGCGGTCGAGGAGGCACGTGTGCGCATTCTCGAGGTCCGAGAGGATGTCTATACCCAATGTATTAGCACCCACGACAACGAAGCGCAGTAAAGTCAAGTACCGCTAATGCGCTATACAAAACAGCGATATGAGTAAAGGCAACACAAGGTGAGACGCGTAGTACCTGGTCCGAGTAGCCGCCGCCCCAGCCCAAAATACGCGCGAGGTCATTGCCCGTGCCAAGCGGCAAGATCGCCACGGGAGGTTGACGCAGCAAGCCCTGTGCCACGAGCTCATCGATCGTGCCAAGCACCTAGAAACAATCGCCGCTGACAACCAAGTACCAAGAGCGAGCGATCACACCCAGCCGACCGTGCCGTCGCCGCCACACACGAGGATCTGAAGCGCCGTCACGTGTCGAAACTGCAGCAAAGGCGGACGAGGACCACCGGGCACCGAGAGGTCATAAATCTAACAATAAGAGCATTTCTGCCAACTGGTAGACGAGACCCGAAATCAAAATACCTGAAGGGGATTGAGCCACTTGCGCAGCTGTCGAAGAACGTAGACGCCCATTTGACCGCCACTGCGGCTGTTGATAAAGACTACGAAATGATATATGCAGCATCGAAATGGGGACCTTGGACGGGTACCCAAGAGCGGCGTCGATCCGATGGGCTGCTCGATAACATACGGCAGCATCTCGTCTGTATCGACTTCAACGACCTCGGTCGTTGTGGCTCTATTACATCCTGCGTCCAGCCACAAGCTAGAATGTAGAGAAGACGCGTACCCTGCCGACGGCGGCGGCGTGATGCTCGTTTCGGTCGCCCGGCGTTGGCGGACCGTGCTAGCATGCCAGATCAGCACCAATAGGCCGAGCGCATCGCACGTACCCGGAGCGCGTCTTCATCGGCGACGCATCGTCGTCCCTACAGATCGATATCAGACATGCTGCTGGAGAGCGCGAGCAAACGTCGTTGCTAGCTTGCTCGAGGACGACGACCGGTGCTGGAGCGCGCGCGACTTGATTTTCTGCACCGCCGACTTGACCGACGAGAGCACGGTCGGCTTGGGCTGGATGCGGATCGATGAGGGCGGCAGGATGAGGCGCTCGTGCGGGCCATAGTCACAGGCAGGGCTAATGCCGCCGTTGTGAAAGCACGTCTCGTGGACGCGGCGATGGCACCACGCGCACTGGATCGCCGAGAGCGCGAGGATGCTGCCGCAGAAGAGGCCGCAGATGTCGCACGTGTCGAGCGGATCGATGTTGCCTTTGACCCACGCATGCTGCTCGAGCGCACGCGCGTCCGAGTCGATGGGCACGGCCGCGACCTTGCAGGCGCAGCGCTCCGGCAGGCCGCCGCCGCGCAGGTACAGCAGCGCGCAGCGGCCATGGGCCGTGATGCCGCAGATGTCGCAGCTCACCACGTTGCTGCGGATGCCGTAGGCCACGGACTCGCAGATGTTGCACCAGTGCGGCCTAGCCACACACACCTGAGGCGCGAAAATGGAGGCGCTTGGTCGTACCCGGCGCGGTTGTTGCTGCGCCACTGGTGGACGCCGAGGACGTACGGTCCGTCTTGGAAGCTAATGGTGCTGAAGAAGAGCACGAGGCGGTTCGCGCAGAGGTAGAACGCGATGATGGCGGCCAGCGCGCCGGCGATCGAGAGGACCCACGACATGGCCAATTCCAAGTTGCGTGTTCTTAGTGCGTGGCTGCTGCCTCCGGAAGACAACTCCGGCACCCACATTTGAAACTGTCACGCCGAGCGGTGACGTGGCCGCGTCGACAACGATGGTCGGCCGGCCAAGATGGTCACATTGCCCTTTGCTCTGCGCGCGTCCAGACGCCAAGGGACCGTCAGGAGGCTCGTAGGCCGGGAAAGCACGATGACGCGACAGGTCCTCTGATTACGCAATAATCGAGGCGCGGCGGGGACCGCGTCACGGTGTCGCGTCACGCCGACGCCGCCGAGGACGCGATCCGGCCTCGTTGAAGGCGCCTCGCAGCAACCGGATCACGTTATTAGGAGCGTAGCTATAGGGGCGACTTTTGTGTACTATCGTTCGAATGGAAATGCTCTTGCTGCAGGGCGGCAAGGGCAACGCGATGCAGGATTATGCTTCTGTATATTGACATTGGTACTCGAACCGAGAGGTTAGAGAGGTTAGAGGGGTTAGAGAGGTTACTCGACGCAGGCTGCCGTAGCTAAGAGGGCTTCTTGGATAAATCTATAGGGTCCATAGTACAAGAAAAGGGACGTAAACACGTCACTTAATGCGTACGGGGTGATGTCGCCGTCGAGCACCGCCGACGTATTCGACTTGGAGACGTTGGTGCGATGGTCCTTGACCATCTACAGGGCCAGTCGTAAACTTAGCGTCGTTATGGCGGTAATGACCTTGTACGGGTGCAGCACATACGAGCGAATCTACCGTGTCATAAGCTTGTCATTTCAATCCAGGAATTGATTTTCGTCGTACTTGGCTGCCCCAGCCGTTGTCACCAAGGCCTTGCGTATACTTGCGCCGCTCGTTTTCCCTGCACATGACCATATTATGTTTCGCGACGTCGACATGGCAACCCACTGGTCGATGAGCTCGAGCTGCAGAAGACGCGCGCGTAGCATTTCCATCGCCGTGTCCTTGTTGCGGTGTTGCGACCGGTCCGATTGACACTGCACAACGATGTTTGTCGGCAAGTGCGTGATCCGAATCGCGCTCTCCGTCTTGTTGACGTGCTACAAAGATAAGGCAATATGGACAGACAGCTAGAAGAGGAGGTTGCGTACTTGGCCACCCGGTCCCGACGCGCGGTACGTGTCGATGCGCAGGTCTTTGACATCAATGCGAATATCACTCGCACCTGCAGTCCCACACATATTGCCATGACGCCTCGTCACTATGCAAGCACCTGGGATCGCCGCCGCCAGCGGAAAGACGCGGACTTGCGCAAACGACGTGTGACGTCGCGACTACACATTGCACTCAGTGCTCGGCACTGTATGGGAGTTTCAAGTACCGCGCTGTCGAAGGGCGAAATGCGAACGAGCCGATGGACGCCGGCTTCGGTGCGCGTCCAGCCGTACGCGTAGCTACCTACCCATGCTTTCCGTTAAAGAAGAGAGATGATAGAGATGCCATATACCGTCGAGTCGCAAGCACACGGACCGGTATCCTGCTTCGTCGCCGGGCACTGCATTCACGAGTTCGGCTAGAGAAGGCGATATGACCCCATTTCTAAGCTATATGGGAAGACGCACTTGCAAACCCTTGGTCGGTACCCCAACGCATGTACATGCGCAGCAACATGTCGACCCAGTCGCAGCTCTCGGTACCGCCTACATGGTCAACCACTTAAACGAATCCTGGATATCGCGACGTAGTCTACCGGCTCCAGCGTGGATTTCGAGAAAGCACGACGACGGGTCGGCGGGCTCGGACATGAGGAGCTCGGCGCGGAGCTTCTTGGCCGACATCGACGCCGTCGCCACGGACGCAACGCAGCCCGCAACAACGTCCTCTTCGTTTTCCTCCAGCGCCAGATCTACTTTTGCTTGTGGTGCGTGTTGTGCAGGTGGCAATGCGTACCAAAGAGCTCCTTGGTCTCGTCGAGCGTCTGTTGTAGCTGGTCGGCCATTGCGTCGCGCTTCTCGAGAACACTGAGCTGCTGCAGGAGCTTCGCAGCGTTGGCGGCGTCGTCCCAGAGCGTATTGGATTGCGAGGCGACGCGAAGCTGTGCAAGCGCAGTCGTGTGCGAGGGCGACGCGAGCACCTTGGCGATGAGCGCCACGTCTGTGCTCGTAGCGTCGTGCGTCGACCAAAAGTCTGCAATCATGGCCTTCGTTGCACGGTCGACGTCGTCGGAGCTGAACCATGCGCGCCGAGCGCCGACGAGCATGCTGCGCGGCCAAGCGCGGGTCATGCGCCGCTGGACGACCCACATGATAACGCTGCACTAATCCGGATCCGTCCTCTATTTCGGCATTGCCATTCGCCTTATCCGGATGTGCCACATACAAGCTGCTCAGGTGCCGCGAGCAAGGGTGGAGCCAGCGACAAATCCCATGGAGTGCAATGTCGGGACATCAATAATGACATGTTGTGGAACGCAGCGCCCACGGCTTGATGGCGCTTGCAAGTTGGACGAGTGCAACATCCTCGCCTGTCGAGGTCTTTATATTCGGCATAGACGCCGCAAATAAGTCCAGGATTTATTGAAATGAGGTCCAAACGCACTGTGATTGGTGCGATTAGTCTTCGTCCGCGATCTTCTTGGCAATCATGACGGTACCGTCCACCGTGTAGGTAAGGATGTCCATGTGAAGCTTGCGAGCCGACTGGGCGTGGAGAGCATCAAATGCGCGAGGTGCGTTCGCGCCAAAGTCGTTGCCCCACACCAAGAGCTTCTTGAGACCACTGCTGTCATTGCGCAGAACACCGTGCGCCAGGCGCGCGAGGCCGTCGTCTTCGATCGAGTTGTACCCGAGACAGAGTGTCTCCAGCGTCTCGGACGCGCTGAGCACGGTTTCGAAAGCTTTTGCGCCTTCGTCGGTCATGCGGTTGGCCGTCAAATCGAGCTCGACGATGCGCGACCCGCTCAGTAGCAGCGCGGCGAGGGCTTCCGAGCCAAAGCCGCCAATCTTGTTGGCGCGCAAGTGCAAACTCGTGAGTGTCTTGTTGTCAAGTAAGCGCTCAGCGAGGACTTGGGCGCCAATGTCCGAGATGTGGTGTTTGCACAGACTCACATGCGTGAGCGTCGAGTTGTTCTGGAGCATCTTCCCGAGGTGCTGGAGTGCCTCTTCCTCGAGCGTACGCAAGAGCGGGTTGTCCAAATTGATACTGGATATGCTCTCGTTGAGGGACAAGGCGGTGGCCATGGCGATGAGGCTGCCGTGGCCCAAGTCCGTGTCGCCTATGTCGAGCGCCTCGAGGCACGTGTTGCCTTCGAGCATCTCGGCGACAAACATGCCGCCTTCGTTGCCCATGGGGTTGCGCCGGAGGTTGAGCGACTTGATCGTCTTGTTGTTGCGCAGTGCTGTGCACAAGATGGAGATGCAGTCGCTATTGATCTCGTTTCCGCTCAAGTCGACGCGCACCAGCACGCACTTGTACCCATCCACGGTGTTCTAGCGCGACATGGCATGAGTGATCGACCGACATCGCCGACATGAAGACTACGAGAAAGAGCTTGGCGAGTGCGCGGATGGCGCTCAAATGCGCTTCGGGATCGGCCTCGTCGACTTCGCCGATGCGGTTTTGCTGTAAATCGATGGCCTCGAGGTCCGTGACTTCGGTCGAGAGGAGGCTCGTCGCGAGCGTGAGCACGTCGGCATTCGTCACGCGCGACGCAAAGTTCTGGACCGTGTTGCCTGGAAGGATGAGTCCCGCGTTGCCAGTTGTTGTTTCCTATATGGGAATACTGTCAGCCAAGTCGAGGAGCTCCCTGACGGCGACGCACCCTGCTGCTCATCCTGCACGCAATTGGCAAACCAGCGCCCAGTTACGGTCGGTTTCGTAATTCCACGATCATGTCCAAGAAGCAAGCGCCGGCGACAGTCGAGGTCGAGGAGACACCGGTCGAGACGCCGGACGAGGCCAAGGGCTCCGGCGTCTTTACCTTTCCCGACGGCGGCAAGTATGGTGCGACTCTTCTCAGCTCGCAACACGAGAACGGACGTGTTGTTTAGAGGGTGAATTTGAGAGCTTTCAGCAAGTCATGACGCGCCATGGCCACGGAACCTACTGGAACGGACCCGAAAAGTACACGGGTGCATGGAGCAAGGACGCTATGGACGGCAAAGGTAGACGTTCAACGCGTGGACCACCGTGGCATGGGTCGTGCCCATTAGGCGTCTACTCGTTTGCATCGGGCGCTGTATACGAGGTATGTGTCGTCGCGATTGATACCAGAGACACACTTTGTTGGGGTTTTTAGGGAGAATTCAAATCCAATCTGTTCTGTGGCGACGGCACATACCGCTGGAGCGACGGCGCCACGTACGTCGGGCAGTGGCGCGAGAGCAAGTATGTGACCCATCTATTTATCTCTAGTCCATTTCTACTCTAGTATATAAACGAGTACGTGCTAGGATGCATGGGAGCGGCTGCTACACGGACAAGGACGGCGTCGAATGGCGCGGCACGTTCTTCAACGGCAAGTTTGACAATGGACGGGCGTTCCTGACACTGCGCTGACACATTGTATGAAACACATGTATACATCATATGTAACACCTGTTTCCAACATGTTTTAAACACACCCTCGAAAGCTTGCCACTTGTTCCGTTGAATTTTATTTTATTTATTGCTCAAAAGCCGGCGAAAGATCCATGCAGCGGACGTCGGCCGTGTTCCTGCTGCTCGCGCTGCTTGCGCTGAGTGCGATCGCGCAGCAAGACGTCGACAACACGTTCTGCCCCATCTGCAACATGGTCGCTGTACCGGCGATCGCGCAGGCCATCCAAGGCGATCAGGCCATCTACGCCTGCGACATGGCCGGCCACTTTCACCAGCTCACGAGCAGCCCGGTGCGTTCGTCGCTAGCCCTGCACGCTCTTATGCACGACGTAGAAAACGTTCCTGCGTGGTGCGGTTGCCGTGCCGCAGCTGCCTGCACCGTACGTCAAAGCCAAAATGGGCTGCCCCGTGTGCGGCCACCCCGACCTGACGCACGCGGTGCCATGGGGTCCACATGGCAACCAGAAGATCTTTGCGTGCTCGGAAGACCACGCCAAGATGATTCTAGACAACCCGGTACGGTCTCTCGTTTGATGATGCAGTTGTTGACGTCGTCGCTAGGCCGCGTACTTTGTCGCGGCGCCTCAAAACGACACGTCAGGCTTTTGCCACGGTGCGACGGGCATGTACGATGGGTTCCAGTCGGCGATCGACGGCATTTGCCCGCGCATCTTCTTCGAGTCGTGGGTGCTCAACTCGGGCGTCAAGTACGCACTCGGGTTTTGTGGCGTCGTGCTCCTCGGTCTCGCAGTCGAGGGGCTCGTCGAAGCCCAAACGCTCTTGCGGCAGCGCTGGACGCGGCGATATGCGGTCGCCGTGTGGTCCGAGCCGTCGCTGGACGATTCGCTTTTGGACGAGAGCAATGCAGCGCTCTCGAAAGAGCTCTTAGCATGCGACGAGCGCCCGCGCGTTGTGTCGCGTCGCCTGCCAATGTGGTGCAAGGCGTGCTTGGCTGGCGTCTACATGTGCACCATGACTGGCGCATATCTGCTCATGCTCGTCGTCATGACGTACGAGACGGGCTTGTTTATCGCCGCGGTTCTCGGCCTCGGACTTGGCTTCTTCTTCTTCAAGGACGTCGATGGCCCGCTCATGGAAGGCAACCCCGACCCGTGCTGCTCCACGTAGCATTGCTTTCTCGTTGTTTACTAAGTGCTCGTTTCTTTCTGTGCCGCTGCTGCTTTATGGAACACAAAAGTGTTACAATTGTACCAACCCTCTGACCTTCTCGTTGTGTTCTGTTGCTTTGGTGCATGTGTGGATAGCATTGGGGCAGTAGTCTCGTGTCGAAACAATGATATCCAAGCGCTACGGAGCTTCGTTCGCTCGTGCATGCGTGTCTGTGCCGAACGACGATGATGAGATTATGCGAGTACGAAGGCGATGCACGTCGTATTTTACCAAAAACTTACTTCGACGAGGTCGCAGAGCTAGGATCATGCGGTTCCAACTTGCTTCAATTTGCTTCCCTGTGATTTTGAGGTCTCCTGGCTGCGCTAGAATCTTCGACGGTGCTATAGCGTACGGGAAGGACACGCCGTGTCAACCCCATTAGAGCCCAAACCGACGAGTAGTCTATGCTGGCACGGTCGATGTCCAGGTTGACCCGAGGACGTTGCAACCGTCATTGGTATATTCAGAGAAAAGGTGAAATTGATTGTTGCCAGAGACGCTGTAAGGCTTCTGGGGGCGATGAAGGAGGCACGCGTTTAACCGTCGCCTAAAGAATGACAACCTTGCCGACGAGTGGTCGTGTTTGGTGCGACAAAAGCTCGAGCCGATTCCAATTGGAAACAAACAAGCAGGCGCGGTGATACTGCACAATGATTCAGAGAACGTGCGTGCGAGCCATTTGGAGATAGAGATAGAATTTTCGTGCGGTGCGTGAAAGTGCCGGTGCTCTCGCTGGGTCATTGTGCAAATTTCCTTCAACAGCAGACCCCGACGCCCTCTATCATGTCAACGAACGACCATCCCAACCAGTCCCAAGTGCAAACGCGCAAGCCATCAGACAAACTCGCTGTCGGTGGCATCACGCTGCTCTTCATGGCCGCTGGTGTCTTACACTACGGCGTGTCGTGAAGCCCGAACACGGGTCCACGGCGGGATGTAGCTCAGTCGTCTCCAGTCGTAAAAAGGGATGTGATTAACGTCAGTTGTCTACGTCTACAGCCTGCCAAAAGGCGTCGCTAGCACCAGACAGCTGTCTGGCCTTGGATTGGCTCGAATGCCTTGAGGGATCGGAGTCTCACACCGATGCACCGCCGGGACGCCACGTTGCGCGGGTCCTTGGTCGACACGCGTCCATCCAGCGAGGAATTCCTTCTATCTTGAAGGTCGTGAGAGGGCCCTTGAAACTTCCTTGGCCACTTGGCGAGGTCTGGGTCCAAAGGCGATTGGCGCCTCACGACAGGCGCCTACAACTCCGTGGGGAGCAACGACGGCGCGCACGTGCCAAGTCCGTCAGCGTTAGCGGCATTGCCAAGTCCGCTTCAGATCACGTCGACGACGTTCTCTTTATACCAAGCCAACTAATTGACGATCGAGCAGCCAAACAACATGGATCGTAGAGCCAATCTTATTGACGTCAAACACGTATTAAGGTATGGCATCTCTCATCATAATCGTACGGGAGTCCATTCGTTCTGAGTCTTTTTGTGATGGCTTTTCCAAGTACATAATCGTGCATGAGCCCCCTCTTACGTAGTTTCGTCGGTGCTGTTATCATCGCGTGGATTTGGCGGCGAGTTACTCGTCCAGCAGTGCAAGTGAACGACACACGCGTTCAAGCAACAGAAGTCCCAGTCCAATCGTCACAAAAACGTACGAGTAGGATTTTCCAAGCAATTCCCCAAGCATATCGAGCATTCGGGCACAGTTCATCACGAATTGTGCTCAAGGAACACTGTTGGTTTGTGCACTATAGCACCCTTTTTTTCGATAGTTACTCAAGCGCATCAAAAGCTTCTGTTGAACTCGTGGCTGGTAGAATGTAGTGCTGGAGCTCGTCGCGGATAAGAGTAAGCTCGTCGATTTGGCGGCGAAGGGACTTGTTCTCGGCAATCGCCTCGTCGACCTGCGCCGCAAAGACCGCCGCGACGTCTTTCCAGGACAAGGCAGACCGCTGCACCGCACGCTCATTTAAGATCATATCGATTTGCGCCTTGAGCTCGGCCACGCGCTGCGTGAGGTACCGAAGTTCGTGCGGCGTTTGCTTGCGGTACTCGCGCTTGCGTTGCCGTTCAAAGAGCCGCTTCTGAAATTTGGGGTCCGCTGGGTCGTGTCGCCGGGCGTCCTCAATGTCATACAGGATCTCGCGCGTGGATAAGTCGTCTTCCTGCAGCATATTGTCCAATACGAAAAGACGATCGACGTGCTGGATTTGGTCCTTTCTCCAGCTGGGAGCATTCCACCCGTTACGCATACGCCAAAGGGGTCACCACACTTGGCATTTGTATGCATGAATGCAACGGGAGAAGACGTTCACTCAGCCCAAAAGACGCTCATTCATCCGATCGGTGGACGAGGAACCGGCAGACTGGAGCGTCGTCGTCGAAAATGGACGTATTGTGTCCCGAAGACCTGCTCCTCGGTGACACATGTCATGCGAATGGAGGTCCACAGTTGACTGAGATCGTGCTTGAAGGTCCGTTGCATCGCTCTGGAGCAAGCAGACGCCAACGCAGCTTAAATCCAATGCGCCTCACGGAAACACTACTCATAGAAACAGGTAAAACTTGCGCTGCCAGAACCGAAATAAAGCGGCATAGGCGCAGACATCGTTACAGCGTTGCAATATACCAAACGGCGGTGATTAAAACACAGCACTACTCGTTCTCGCGCCAGACCAAATTCGTTGACAAACCTCAACACGATGCACGGCGACGACGCTAGATTGAGGCTAGCGTGCACACCTCCTAGCCTTTTAACCTTCTAACTGTATCCTTACACCATCGTCCACATTCCTGCAAGGCAATCTTCACGCGGCGTCAAAACATAAATAAGTTGTGTTGTTTATGGCGGCGTCTGCTGCACGTACTCGTAGACCCATTGGTTCATCTCGTGGAGGCGCTCGCGAAGCGCTTGGTTCTCGATGAGCGCGTGCTGGGCTTCCTCTTCAAAGACGGTGGCAACGACCTGCCACGAGATCGAGAGCGCGGACTTTTCTTCCGATGTTATTTGGTTCTCGCGCTGTGCTTGGAGCGCCGCCAGATGCGCCTCGAGCTCTTCGATGCGCTGTTTGAGGTACCGCATCTCATGGGGCACCTGCTTGCGGTACTCGCGCTTGCGCTGGCGGTCGTAGAGTCGCTTCTGGAACGTCGGGTCTGTCGGGTCGTGCTGCTGGGCGTCGAGAATATCGTACATGATTTCGCGGGTCGAAACATCGTCTTCACCGAGCATTTTCGTAGGTTTCTGGGTGTTGTGACGCGGACGAGGTCAATGGAAAAGTGAGATCCGACCGTGCGTGACATCTTGTGCACGCGCGTCTGTCAACGTTGCACCGGCTGGCCGCAAGCGTGAATGCTTGTCTCTCGGGCGGTTTTCCATACAGCGTTACTGTATACCATTCGGTCACCGTCCAGCCCGCCCGACATCCACCACTCATGTTTATCGATCGTCATTCTCAGTACCCCTCATATTCGATAGTTCATATATGTATTCCTAGAGGTGTCAAACCTGTGAGAATACATACTAACACCATGCTGATATGAGGTTCTCGAGCGCCCCAGCCAAACATTTTTATGGACCCGGCGTTGAAATCGTCTTGTTGTTTGTATGATGCCATTGACAGCGAAGCGGGATCCCCAACGTAGACGTGGATACGACCTGCGGATTTACCTTGTGTGGGGTACCAAAGGTTGATTAATCTAAATAAATTGTATATCTGTATGGCATATGAAATACACCATAGGAGCTCCCTCCTGAAAAGCCTTTGCAAAATTTCCCCTAAAATCGGAAGGAAGCCCCATGTCATTCTTCGCGTCCGACGACAGCGGCAGCGTCTGGTCCAAGGCCGCGACCCTCTTCAACATCTCGAGGTAGATGCATCTTGATGCAACCGCCATGATGGCTGGAAGCGGCGATGGCATGGCGCGCTTCCTCGCCCATGCGCTGCCAGCCATCGAGGGGCGGCGATCCATCGTAACGTCTGGCTCATGCGACGTGCTACCTCCTTCTAGCCCCTTGGCCGACCTTCTTGACCGCGATGACTTTACGCTCGAGCAAGTGCTTGAGGAAGACGAGCTCATCCAGGAGGTGAAGACGCGCAACGTCAAGCTCCTGCAATTGTACGTTCTCACGTCGTCGACGACCGGCGGAGAATGATGATGTCCATTAGCTTGTCGACGGAGGAGTCGGTGCGCAAGATGGTCTACTACATTACGCGCACGCCCGAAGACGGCGAAAGCGACCTCAAGGCCATCAAGTGCGAAGATGCATGTATCCACACCGTCGTGCTCACGTGGCCTTTTCGCCTAGGTACCCGTTCATGTCGTGCGAGGTGCTGTGCTGCGATATCATGTGCATCACCGAGACGCTCTCGACCGCGGCCGACGGCGCAATCGTCGAGGACTTGTTTAAGCTCCTCCAGCATCCGTCACCGCTCGACTCGCGCCTCGCCGGCTACTTTGAAAAGGTATCCTTGCCACGGGTCCTGCCCCGTCCCTGCAATGCGCGTGTAGGTCATTTCGCTGCTCATGATTCGCAAGCCACAAGAGATGACGACGCTCATGAACAAGAACGCGGACTGGCTGTTGCAAGGATTTATGGCCCATACGCTCTCGTTCTCGATCGCCGAGATGTTCAAGCGCCTCATGCAGCCGTACCATTCAGGTTGCGTTTTCCATATCATGTCCATGGTGGCTCACATGAACGACAGACTACTTGGACGACGTCGACTTTACGCATCCGTATGCGTCCAACAACTGGTACTCCTCCAACGACGACGACAGCATCATGGGCACGCCGGAGGCCAAGAAGACGCTTTTGTGGCAGTCGGACCGCCGCGTCATCGACTACCTTGTCGCGAATCTGAAGCCGACGAAGGAGGTCAATGGCGAGACGGTAGCTGTCGACAGCGACGTTCACAAGCACACGGCCGAAATCTTGGCCGACATCATCCACTACGGCACGCGGTCGAGCTCGGACACGTCCAACCCGCCGTCGCTGACCCTCGTCGAGCACATTGAAACGAAGGAAATCATCGACTCGATCCTGGATCTCGCGCTGCCGACGGGGACGCCGGTCATGTCGTCGATGACGTCGGCGCTTACGGTGCTCTCGGCGCTCTTGACGCGCCACGCCAACGCCCACTACAGCTCGACCACGCCCGAGACGGTCTCGGTGGTCATCTCTGCGACGGTCGAGCGCCTTCCCCAAGTACAATACCATTCTTGTGAAGTTTGCCTCTCACGGAAGCGATAGATTTGCAGAGCACTCAAGGACGACGCGGGTACGCGCGTCAACACCAAATACCAGACTGTGCCGCGCTTGGGTCTTCGCCGGCTCAAGCTCGTGGGGCTTTTGGTGCTCCTCATGCAAGCCAAGTACCGTGTCATTGACGCGGTGATTCTCGCCGAGGTGCGGTCTTCATCCCCACTCAATTGCACTTCTGACGTGTACCGTGCAGAATGCGATCTGCACGTGCTTGGACCTCTTTTTGAGTTTGAGGCCGTCAACATGCTGCACGCTGAGATCGACAGCATGGTCATTGGCATCCTTGCCAGCGGCGGCTCGGACCTTCAGGTCGGCCTTCTCAAGCAGTCGAACCTCCTCGGACGCATCATGCAGACGTATGAAGAAAACGCGGTACGACGACAAACAACTCCTCTCGATGCGTCGTCTAACGCCTACAATAGGACGTCACGAACGGCAACGCCAAGGGCTATATGGGCCACTTGCTGCGCATCTCCAATATGATTACGACCGTGACGGACGAGGTCCGTGGCACGGATGCCCGCGGCTCGCTCAACGATATGACGCACGCTGACAGCATCGTCGACCACCTCGAGAACGATCCGCTCTGGCCCAAGTGGGAGGCGTTTGTAAAGACGACTCTCAGCGCCATCAACGAGAAGGAAACCACGTCGATGCACAGCGTCGTCTCGCACCACGACGTACGCTTCAGCCGTGAGGTTGTATCTCAAAACGCTTTGCGTAGGAAGATGCGTACGGCAGCATGATGCACTTTGACCATCAGTTTACGTCGTCGCAGTTTGCCGACATGATGCAGGAGCAGGGACACCACTCGTTTGACACGGACTTTGACCTGCCGCACGACAACGACCCGCCGGCCATGATCCACGACAGCAGTAGCAGCGACGAAGACGAAGATTTCACAGAGTTTGACCCGCGCGCGGCGTACGGCATGAGCGCCGGCATTCCCGTGCTTTCGTCGGATGACGACGACGACGCGATCATGGCGTCGGACACGCACACGCTCAACGATGCGTCGTGGGCCGACTTTGAGTCGCTTAGCGTCAGGTAGTGCTACTGGATGGCCTCTTGTTGCTCATACCGCCATTGTTCTGCTAGCGCACCGCCAGTGGTCGAGAACTTTGCGTCGTTTGACGCGCCGCCGCCGAGCCCGTCATCGACGTGAGCACGGTAGTGTACACAACGTATGTAGGACGTCAGGACTTGTTTTCGCTTTTATACACATCGGCATGCTCCATGCCCTGCGTGATGATGATGAGAATGCTGAAAGGATTGCAATCGTATTACGTCGCGGGCCCCCATCGACTCTTCTTGACCCGGGGCGCGGGCTCGACGACCGCGTCGGCTTCGCGCATACCCCACCGACTGCGTTTCCGCTCGGGCACATGGGCGAGACCACTACCGCTACTGCTACTACTGCTACCTACGACAGCAGCGGGACGGGACTCGGGCGGCGGGCTGTACGCTGGTGGAGGGCTGTACGCTGGAGGTGGGCTGAACGCTGGTGGAGGGTGGTACGCTGGAGGTGGGTGGTGCGCCGGCGGGGCTGAGCCCCGTACAAAGCCAAAGGTCTGTTCGATGCACATCGGAGCGGCCGCGCTGGCTTTGCTGGCACTGGACGCCGCCACGAATCCGAGGCCCATGCCTCGCTTTGCGGGTGGTCCGCCCTTCTTTTTGCTCTGAAAACCAAAGCCGAGGCCCTGGCGCTGCTCCTGCTTGGACTTTGGTTGCGTCATGGCCATCGCATACTCGCGCTCGACGGCATCAATCTCGTCGTCGTCGTCATCGTCCGGATGGGAAGCGCGCGGTGCGTGGCGGCGATGAAAGTGGGGAGACCGCGCCGCAAGGTGGAGGAGGTCCGAGCCGACGACGCTTTGGCGCGAGCCGTCCATGTTGTTGACGAGGTGGCCGGCAAACTCGACGTCGTTCGGTGTCAAGAGCGTATACGCGGTGCCTGGCGCAACGCCGTCGACGCCCATGCGGCCCGTGCGCCCGATGCGGTGCACGTGTGTGTCGATCGACTTGGCTGCGTCGTAGTTGACAACGTTGCGAACGTCCTTGATGTCGAGACCGCGCGCCGCCACGTCCGTTGCAATCAGAATCGGACACGCGCTCGTTTTGAAGCGATGGAGCGCGTCGGATCGGTCGTACTGCGACTTGTCACCGTGGAGCGACACGCAAGTGAGTTTGATCGGGTGGTCGTTGAGGTTCGTCGAGACTTCGTCCACGCCAGCCTTGCTACTGACAAAAACGAGGAGCTTTCCTTGCGATACGAGCTCCGGAAGCTTTGCAATGAGCCAATTCCACTTGGCTGCGGGGTTCTACATAAGTCGTGGTTGATACGACGTTGATCGAACATACAAGACCTACTGGGAGCACAACCGCGACTTGCTTGATTTCATCGTTGGCCTGCCCGACGGTCCCCACAATGATCTTGGCGGGCTTGGTCAGCACGTCGCGCGCCAAAGCCTCTATGCGCTTGCGAAAGGTCGCCGAGAAGAGCAGCGTCTGTCGATCGGGTCGAATCTACCTCACAACGAGAGGTGGGTGGGACGATGATGGGAGATGATTCGTGTACCTGCCCCAAGATGGACCGGAGCTGTGCTTCGAAGCCCATCTCAAACATGCGGTCGGCTTCGTCAAGGACGACAAAGGTGACCCGAGAAAGGGACTTGATGACGCGCTTCCGGAGATGCTCGAGGAGGCGACCAGGCGTCGCGACGACGATCTCCGCGCCCTTCTTGAGTGACTGGATCTGGTCCCACTTGTTGCCCGCACCGCCGTAAATGGCTGCGCAGTTGGCGTCCATGCTAAACTTCTTGGCTTCAACGTAGATCTGATGGGCGAGCTCCCGCGTCGGCGAGAGCACAATCGCTATCGGTCCCTCGTCCTTCTCGAGATACCGCTGGTCCATGATGTGCACCATCATTGGCAGCACGAACGAGAGCGTCTTCCCGGACCCGGTCTGCGCGATCGCTATGAGGTCGCGCCCCGAAAGCGCCAGCGGGAACGCTTGGGACTGAATCGGCGTCGGCGCTTCGAGACCATGCTTCATGAGCAACGCGAGGATCTGGCGGCTAAAGCCGGCGTGCATGAACGATCGGATCGGCCCCACGTCGTCGCACCCGACCGGCAGCTCGACCCGAATGTCGAGCTCGCGCCGCGCCGCTTGCACCTCTTCTGGCGTCATTGCAATGGTCGGCTTGAAGAACGCTTTCCGGAATGGCTCATACGCGATCTTCGAGTGGTCGAGCGCTTCGATCTCTTGCATGTCTTGGTTCTTGCTCATGCGGTCCTCGACGTCTTCCTCAAACACTTGGGCAGCGCTGGGCATGGCCTTGGCCGTCGTCGCGTCCTTCTCTTCCTCCTCGAAGGTACATCGCTCGATCCGAGGCCGGCGCTCTGCCTTCTCGACCTCGACCTGGGCCTCGATTCCGGCCATGAACGCGTCCAGCGGGTCGATCTCGTCGTCGCTCATGCTGGGCTCGGTGCAAATGGCAAAACCCACCACTGCGGTGGAAAATAATTGAAGAAACCACCGTGTAAAACATGCAAGGCCCAAGGCCATTGGCAATTAATTGTCCAATCATATCACTTGCATTGTCCTGTTCAGTTTGAAGGGCAATGAAAGGATACTTGACGCTCAGGAAATGCATGCTGCTCATCGAACCAAGCCAGCCATGTACTAGTCTCTAGCCTCGCGAAGTTATTGGATCCGTGGACAGCAAACGGCATCTGCAAAGGAACCAGTAAATTATATGCCGAAGTGATTTTTAGCCAATCCGCGTGCAGATGCTCGTGGGAATTCGGTGAAATACTGCGACAATGTATACAATCAGGATTGGTATAGGATTTGAGAGGCGCCCTGTGTGGATGCCAGACCGAAAAAAGCATGGAGAAGAAAGCGCCGTCCGACTTCCTCAAGAGCGTCCTTGGCCGCCCCGTCGACGTCAAGCTCAACAACGGCGTCGAGTACAAGGGTATCTTGGCCTGCCTCGACGGCTTCATGAACATCGCCATGGAGCAGACCCAGGAGTACGTCAACGGCCAGCTCAAGGCGCAGTACGGCGACTGCTTCATCCGCGGCAACAACGGTACGTCGCTCGCCATCCGCACTCATATTGGCTCATGGCCGCTGTGCGCTAGTCTTGTACATCTCGGCGTCCAAGTAGACTCTATGAAACCCGCGCTGGTCAGGGCGCTGCGGTCAAATCTCTCTATATTAGCAATCCCACACCACCTCTCTCGACCCATGGCCCTTCATTTGGCCTTCTTCCGCCCATCGCTGTTCCGGAAACGATTGTCTTGATGGCTTCTTGACGTCTTCGGCGCCGTCCGAAAAGACCACGATGTCTCGAACGCTGTAGTGTAGCCCAGCAAGGGCGCGTTCAGAAGCTCGTAGCAAATCCGTGCCTCGAGGCTACCTCGCATGCTACACCAGAAGAGGTGGATCCTATAAGGCGTCGCTCGTCTCGTAGCTCTTGGATGCGTTTTCCGTGTCTCTGTGGTCGCGACGCTGGGCAAAAGGACGCTATACGTCATCGCCCAAGCTGCACCATCTACATGGCCACGAGCCAAGTGCTCCTAGCATGCATCGCTATGACCTAGACCACAGTTCGCCAGCAACTCTCAACTGCAGCATCTAGCACGCCTACTAGCGCCATGAGCATCGCGAGGGCGCGGTAGTCCTAGGATGGGACTGCACATCGCCATCGAAGATCGCGGCCGCGTCGCGGCTGCCGTTTGCCGTCGAGATACCGGATAGACCTGTATCAATAGATATACATTCCGGTTACCGCCAAAGTTCCGGATATCGGCCATCAAAAACCTGCAACATGTTATGCGAAGGTTTTCCCAGAAACCAAGTCGCGATGCTCGGGCGACAATCGACGCCGGGCGCCAAGACGGTCCAGGGCCGCTTCAACCTGCTCCTGCTCGAGGACGGCGAGTACTTTCTCGATGTAAGTCCATAGTCTTGCGCATGCACCTCGAGGCGACGGCGAACACTAGGACTTTAGCGTCTTCCGGTACCCCGATCCGGTCTTCACGTGCCTCACCTTCCACCACTGCAAGCAGCGGTGCGCCGCCCATGCGCCGCGTTCTCTATCTCTCATTGCGATCTTCCGTAGCAAGGTGCAAGGCCGCTTGAAGCTCTGCACGCGCAGCCTCATGTTCGAGCCGCAAGACCCGATCTTGCCGATCCTCAAGTTTCCCTTCCGTGACATGGCGCTCCCGCCGAGCGGCGAGATCTTTGAGGACGAGACCAAGCAGATCTACCTCTCGTTCGAGTGCGGGCTTGCTGTCGAGATGAAGGAGCGCGGGCTCGACCACCCGTATGTCCCGCGCGTGCTCGCCGACTCGAGCGTCATGAGCTCCAAGTTCATCTTCTCGTTCGCGCACTCCAAGGTCCACGACGTGGTCGACGCGATCGCGCCGCTCTATGCACTGGCGCACACGAAGAGCATTCTCAACAAGATTGACGAGGAGATGCGTCTCTCGCCGATCTTGGACCCGCGCCACACGGACGTCTTCGACCCGAGGTACAGCCTCTCATCCTCGCCAACTGCAACGATTACGATCACGCTAGCTTGCTCGCCGACTTTCGCGAACGGCCGCTGCTCAAACGCGGCAAGGTCGTCAACCGCATTGTCCCGCTGCTCAAGTACCCTGGCACGCTCATGCTCACGAACCTCCGGTGCGCTGGCGTTGCGAAAATGCTCGTCTCATCGAGAAGTAGGGTCTACTTTCAGCCAGCACAAGTCAACAACGTTGGCGACCCCGTCCTTAACTTTGCGTACACCAAAGTGACGGCGTTGCACAAGCGGCGACACATGCTCAAGCAGTGCGGTCTCGAGGTGCGGCTCGACGACGGCGCGAGCCACCTCTACTCGTTCGAGACGATGGTCGACCGCGACGAGATCTACGACCTTCTCCAGCCCAACGTGGCGCACATTGGCGATGCGGCCAAGATCCCCGACATGCTCGCCAAGTGGCAAGCCGGTGCGGTCTCCAATTTTGAGTACCTCTCGTTTCTCAACGACCAAGCCGGGCGGACGGTCAACGACCTCACCCAAGTACGTGCATCAGAGCTCGATCTTTGTACAAATCTCTACGTAGTACCCGGTCTTTCCGTGGGTCGTCGCCGACTACACGAGCAGCGAGCTCGACTTGACCAAAGCAAGCACGTTTCGCGACCTCTCCAAGCCCGTGGGCGCGCTCAACCCGGACCGCCTGGCATACTTTCAGCAGCGCTTTGAAGCGATGCCGTCGGGCATGGAAGCCGAGGGCCTCCCGCCGCCGTTCCTCTATGGCACCCACTACTCGACGCCCGGCTACGTGCTCTTTTACCTCGTACGCATGGCGCCCGAGTACATGTTGTGCCTCCAAAATGGCAAGTTTGACGCCGCGGACCGGCTCTTCAAGAGGTAAGACCAACCTCGTTTTTGGGATCGAACGCGCATCTTCGAGTAGCATCCATGGCACGTGGCAAAGCTGCTTGAGCAACCACGCCGACTTGAAGGAGCTCATCCCGGCCTTCTACGACGTCGACGCACCCCCCGAGTGGCTCTCAAACGTCAAGAACCTCGACTTGGGCACGACCCAGCAATTGGAGCGTGTCGGTGACGTCGAGCTGCCGCCGTGGGCGCACTCGCCGCGCGAGTTTGTGGCCAAGCTCCGAGAGGCACTCGAGAGCGAGCATGTCTCGGCCCATCTGCACGAGTGGATCGACCTCATCTTTGGGTTCAAGCAGCAAGGCGACGCAGCGGTCGCCGCCAACAACCGTACGTACCTGACTCCTTCTGCCGCGTTGTGCTGTCTGTGTGTCAACGTCTTACCTGGGATAGTCTTTTACTACCTGTCGTACGAGGGGGCGGTCAACCTCGAGACGATTTCGGATCCCATTGAAAAGTGCTCGTTCGAAGCGCAGATCCAAGAGTTTGGCCAAACGCCCAAGCTTCTCTTTCTCTCGCCACACCCAAGCCGCGCGGACGTGGCTGCCGCCGCGACCCTCGAGCTCGCGCCGTCCGAGCCCGTCGTCCACGCTGCACCGATCGTCCCGTCGGCGTCCGCACCGCCCGTGCCGTCGCCGGTACCGTCGCCCGACAAGGAAGCATCGTCGACGCCAACGTCGGCGCGTCGAAGCGTCTTTGGCTTCGCGCGACCGACGCTGAGCCTCAACGGCATCAAAGCGAGCTTGCGTCGTCGCCTCGAGCGCAAAAACTGGGGCTGGACCTTTGACAGCCAGAGCCCCGCGAGCGGTAGCATGTGGGAAGAGTCGCTGCCCCACTACTTTCACTCGCAGTACGTCCTCCTCCTCACTACGATCGTAGTTCTGGACACGCATCTTATGCACGAGGTCCTAGAGCGCTCACGGCGTGTGTGCTCTCCAAGGACGGCAAGTACGCCTTCTCCACGGCCCGCGACGGCACGTTCAAGCTCTCGGCCACGTCGGACGGCTCGGTGCGTCGTAGCTACACCTGCGGCGGTACGATCGACGACATGAGCATGAGCATGACGCGACGATGTCATGGTGCTAGGCGCGGCGGTCGCGTGCGACGTGTCGCCGGACGAGAAATTTGTGTTTTTCGCAGCTCTGGATGCGTGCGTGTACATGGTCGCGCTCGAGACTGGCCGCGTCGGGAAGCTGCCGGCCGGTGCCGCCGTCGTCGGGCTCGCGGTCCTCGATGACGCGCGCTTCGTCACGGCCGACGTCGCCGGGGCCGTCAAGGTACCATATCCGATGCTTGCCTTATAAGATTGTTGCTGCAGCCTGCGCGTAGCTCTGGCAGTATGGGCCGACGGGCATGCTCTCGACGCCAGTGGCCGTCATGGACGACGCCGGCGCGCCCATCACGTGCTTGGACGTCAACTCGGACGGCTCCGTGGCCGTCGTGGGCACAGCGACCGGTACTACGCAGGCAGAGAGACGTGGTCGTGTGACGGTCCGATGGTTGTAGGTGTCGTATGCCTCTTGGACTTGCGCTCGACTGCATGTGTTGCCAGCGTCGCGACGGGCGCGGACCGTGTTGTGGCCGTGAGCTTTGGCATGGCCGGTACGCACTTCGTGTGCGCGACCGACGAGAGCGAGCTGCTCGTTGTCTCGACCGACGGTGTTGAGCAGGCGCGGCTGCGGCTTCCAGACGACGCCAACGTCCAGTACATGCTCCATCGCATCTCCTTGCCGCGGGAGATGGCTAAGACGACGACGACGTAGGTGCATGGTCTCGGACGGGACGTACGCGATCACGGGCGCGTCCAACGGCGGCCTCTACATTTGGCAGCTCCAGACCGAGAGCATGGAGCTCGAAAAAAAGTGCATCGTGTCGATCGGCCATGGCAAGAAGCGACCGGTGACCACGATCACGGTCAGCTCCAACGGCCAGACCATCGTCGCCGGCGCCGAAGACGGCTCGATGCGTCTCTGGTCCATGAAGAAGAAGGCGACGCGCGGCCGGCTCGGGTACTTTTCCTAAGCCTACAGAGGATCGGGTAAAGGCTGCAACCTACTACGTTCAACGTTCAATGGGTCTTTTGGACGCGTTTATCAAAAGTGGATTCGCCGCAGGTGTCGTCGCATCGCAGCAGCCACGCGATCGCATTTCATAGTACTCTATCTATCGGCAGGACGACATAGTGTAGCAAGGGCGAGCAGGTGGAGTGGAAGCGGCGCGTCGAAACGTTGCAACGCGGTGGTGGACGCGTTTAAACACGTCAAGAAAGGTGTTTAAACACGTCGGCGGTTGGGATCTCGGTTTCTTTGTCGTATTTGGAGTTTGCACGATGGCGCAGCAGGGGGCGACGCTGCAAAACTACAACAACGAGCTCGTCAAGTGCATCGAGGACCTCCGCGAGAAGCGCGAGGAAGTCAACCGCGCGATCCTCAAGGAGGAGGAGGAGAAGGCCAAGATCCAGAAGGTACATGCATGCTCGGAGGAAGACGACGAGGGCTCATGCAGCACGGCTAGGATCTCACGGTGCTCACGGACCGTCTGAGCAAGATCAACGAGACGCTTGCGCGCAAGACGCAGGCAAGGAACGAGTACGACCGGACGATCCAGGAAACCGAGGCCGCGTACATGAAGATCCTCGAGAGCTCGCAGACGCTCCTCCATGTGCTCAAGCGCGAGACGGTCCAGCTCACCAAGAAGAAGCAGACGTCAACGTAGGACGACGACCCATCTCGCCATAGGAAGAGAATGTTCACTTGCTCGATGTTACGTAGCGAATAATAAAATAAGGATCTACTGGCGACGCCAGTGGGTTGGGAATCTCATCGGAGCCACGGGTGCAGCATGGCTTCAGTCGCCGTCATGCGCTTGTCCGGGTTCCGCACGAGGAGGCCCATGATGAGCTGCTTGGCGCCAAGCGACGTGGTGTTCCATACGTCTTCGCTAAATTGCACGACGACGTCGGTCGAGCCCTCGGCCGGGCCGAACATGGGCGCGTAGCCGCTCAAGACGACGTACAAGACGACGCCGATGCTCCACATGTCGGCTTGCGTGCCATAGCCCTTGCCGCCCATGACCTCGGGGGCCACATAGTCGCGCGTCCCGCACTTGGTGTGGGCGCGGGCAAAGCGCTCGCGCGGCCGAAAGCTGCTATCGTCGTCCGTCGACGCAAAGACTGCGTGGTCGGGCACGACGGTCGCTGTCCGAGACGGGCCCTGCAGCCGCCGGGCAATGCCAAAGTCCGAGAGCTTGACGTGGCACACGTCGTCGTGGACGATGAGGATGTTTTCCGGCTTGATATCGCGGTGCACAATGGCGTTTTCTACGTATCCAGATATCAGTTCTGATCGCCTTTGATCTTCGTTCGACGTACTGTGCAGATACGCGGTCGTCTGGATGAGCTTGCGCAAGAGGACCTTGGCTTGCGCCTCGGGCAGCGGTCCGTGCTCGTCGATGAATTGAAACAATTCTTTCTCGCAAAACTCCATGACCAGGTACAGCTGGTCCGGCGTCTCAAAGAGCTCGAGGAGCTTGACGATGCCCGGGTGGTGCAACGACGACATGATTTCAATCTCGCGCGACAGAAACCGCGGCTCGTGCACTGCGAGCTTGTCGATGACCTTGACCGCGACTAACACGACGGACTAAGCCATTTACACACAGAAGATCGATCGGACGTACGTTTGGTCGTCGGGTCGTGCCGAGGAAAGCACTCGGAGACCGTCGAGAAGGACCCGTGCCCGAGCTGCTTGCCGAGCGAGTACTTGCCGAAAAAATCATGTTGCACCAGGATCGACCCTTCCAGCAGCGACGCGTACGAGAAGGGCGTGTACATGGCGATCGCATTCTCATCGAACGTGTCCATTGCGTCCGAGAGGTCCGAAGGCCGGAGGTCGGAGGACGCGCGCGCCGTCGACCGCATCGAGTCGAAGACGCCGTCCAGCGACGGCCGGTTGCTCGCACTGGACGGCCGCGACTTGGTCGGCGTCGGAAAGCACGGCCGCCGGCACGGGCTCTCGAGCGATGGCCGCGACCGCGAGTGCCGCGGCAGGTCCATACTCAAAAGCGACGGCGACGTGTGCGTGCTCATCGTCGGGGATGACGTGACCGTGCTCAGCGACCCGCGCGAGCTCGAGTAGCGAGAGCTCGACCCGCGCGGCTTGGCCAGCGGCAGAAACACGTTGGCGTCCGACGTTGTTGGCGTCGTCGGCGACTCGCGGCCGACGGGCGACTGCGACGGCATGGCGTTTCGGCGCGGGTGGAGACTCATAAATATGTCGGGCGTATCATCAATGTCCGACTCAATCGGCTCAAACTCGAGGTTGGCAAAGTTGCGCGAGAGCATTTCGACGGGCGTGTTGGTCTGCGACGACGAGGCCGACGAGGAGGAGGGACGGGCGATGCCTGCAATCGGCACGCCCTGCTGCGAGTACGGCGAGGCCTTGGCGTGCTTGGCGCGCGACAAGCCTTCGTCGTCGTCGTCGTCCGACACGTCGTCGCGCATCTACATGGTATATATGAGATGCTGATCGGCCCACGCGAGCGCGAGCGTACCCGCGACGTCAGCTCGGCGGGGTCCGTCAGCATCATCAACAAGCGGCGGCGGTCTTCCGACGCGGTGCGCTCCTTGCGCTTGAGTGTGCTTCGGTGGTCCTTCGAGGGCGTCTGTATCTGTTCAAGCTGTGGGCGGACCACGACCGCCGGCGTCACACAGTTGGCCTGCTACAGCATCGTGCGATGAGCGGTCGTTCTCGTGAGCAAGCCATACCTCGAGCGCCTGTTGCATTTCTGTACAGGGACGATACAACACGTGTCCATGGTCGTGGAGAGCCCCAATGTCGGCGATGCGCTTGTAGCGCGTGCCTGCCGAGGTATCGCCGGGGCCTTTGCGACCTTGGCGAGGATCTGGCCGCGTGCCACGTACTGCAGCAAGCTACACCAATAATGTCCTTGAGCATACATACATCGCTGGCATGGCATACGTGTTGCCGAGCGCGTGGGCATGGTAGTGGCGGATGACGTCGGCGGCCGTCGCCGTCGGCGGCAGGCTCAGTAGCACTGGCGCCTTGCGCTTCATCGGGTTGCGCGCCGCCTCTTTGTCGATGGACATGAAGAGCTCGACATGGACGCTCTTCGTCATCGTCGCCGAAAAGAAGAAGATGGCAGTCCGCTGCAAGGGAGAGGAATGCTGCGCTTGCTGCGTCGCGCCGGGTTACTCACTCCAAGCGGCGCACTGGAGCTTCAGGCGGGCCCGACTTCTCTCCCAATATGAATGCTATTTTATTCCAATTACCTTGTACTTTGTATGCGTCGCCAATCCACGCTGGAATAAAATGGACGTGGCGGCTGGTTTCCCAGATTTTATTGCAAGCTGGGCGAGGGAATAAGAACGGGGCTTTGGACCATTCGAATCCGGGTTTCCGCAGATCCGGCTGGCACGTGCATGCAGCGCGTCGGCAGCTGCCGCGTTCGACGCCGTTCGATATATTCCTTCCTATTAGACTTGGTCGATCGTACGATCAGCAGGCCTATTCGCGCGCGCCTCTTCCGAGCCGCCCTATGCACGACCAGTTGCGGCTTGGACGGCGCGATATCGAACCCGGCGTTTCTCAACAATTGACACGCGACGTCGTCACAGGCTTGGATACAATCCCACATCGCCAAGCGGGACGGGTCGTTCGATCGATCGTTCGTTCCTGGCGGTACGCAGCCAACAAACGGGGATGACGACGCAGCATAACCACTCACGAAACGACGCACAATGTATTCAATCCCAGGGATCCTGTAAAGTAATATCCACGACGACGCAGTCTGTCGAGCCCAAGGTGATACATGGCATGGAAATCACCTTGGACCTGGGGCTGCTCCCTGGGGCTGCTCCCTGGGTATTACGACGTTGCATTACGCTCTCATCGGTCCATAGGGAGGTGATCACCAACCACAAGTTGCAAAGACATGTGCTATGAATATTGTTTGTACAGGCTCGAATTCCGACCGCGACGACGACGACCACGAAGTGCCTCTGAGTTCGAATCCAAGTAGCTGCCAATAATTCGACGCACCGAGTAGCTAGCTATTCGGGACAAGCCGCGGCTCAGCTCGCGGCTTGACTCAGCTCGCGGGCATCGCCAACATACGATTCGAGCGCGAAAAAAACAAGCGCATCGTGCCACCATGCTATCGCCTTGGAACGTTCGACGTAGCAAGGTCGGTAGCGCCATGGCAGCAGTGGCCGGTGCAGCACCTAGGTCCATTTGTCGACGCAGCGTTCGAAGGTATATACCCCCCCCCCCCGCTGCTCTTTCCTTCAAGTCGCGTGCCCATTGCTTGAAGATCGCTGTCAACGATGCGCACTCTATTTTGGCCAATCCCAGCGCTGCATTCTTTTGGCCAATCATATCGCTTTATCGTCGCAGCCAATCACAGGGAGGCCGGCGTACTTTCGCCAGCCCTCCGACCACCATGCTTGTGCACCAGACGCTTCGGCGCGCGCTCCTCACAGTACGTGGCCTTCGCCTTCGTTGCATCAGCGCGGGATGATAACGACGTCGCAAGTAGGCGCCACGCCACCTCTCGACGAATGCCAAGATGCCACCACCGCTCGGCGAGCGCAGCTCGTCCTCGAGCCTCGGCAGCATCGGCCTCATCGGCGGCCTCTTCATGAGCGGGTACTTTATGGGCACGTACATTGGCGTGCTGCCGTCGTACGAAGCGCTCAAGCAGCAGCTGGGCTTGGCCGAGCCCACGTCGGCCGCGTACGACGGCAAGGTACGAGTGCGCATGCGTGTATAGCCATTTTGCGATGCGCTTCTTCGAACTAGCTCGACGTCGAGTCCAAGGTCTCTTTGACATTGGCATCAATGGCAAGCCGTCCGGCACGATCGTATTCGGCCTCTACGACAAGGTGCAGCCCAAGACGGTCGCCAACTTTGTGGCGCTCTGCACCGGCGACCGCGCGGTAAACGGCACGGCCCTGACGTACCGCAACAGCCGTTTCCATCGCATCATCCCCAACTTCATGTTGAATCGCGTTTCTTTCTTAATGGGGGCTCATGGATACCTATAGGATTCAAGGCGGCGACTTTACCAACGGCAACGGCACAGGTGGCCTCTCGATCTACGGCGACCGCTTCGCGGACGAAGACCTCTCGGTGCCGCACGCGGGCGCGGGCACGCTTTCGATGGCCAACGCTGGGCCCAACACGAATGGGTCGCAGTTCTTTATTTGCACGGCGCCGACGCCGTGGCTGGACGGCAAGCACACGGTCTTTGGCCGCGTGCTCGAAGGCATGGACCTCGTCGAGAAGATCGAAGCGCTCGGTACGCGCGGTGGGCAGCCCAAGGCCGAGGTCCGCATCCTCAACTGCGGTCTTGTCGAGGCGGCGGCCGAAGCGACCGACGAGACTGTCGCAACGACGCCGACCGTGCCCGAGGACGTGGCGATGACCGAGCGGCTCGAAGATCTGCGCGAGATCGAGGCCCAGCTCCGTGCCAACAAGGCGACGATCGACGAAAGCATGTATACGAGCATGCTCCACGACATCACGGCCGAAAAATTGCGTGTCAAGAAGGTCCTCAAGGAGCTCAAGCAGCGCAAGTAAATGTTTTGTCTAAAAACACACAACAAAACCTCATTTTGACCCGATTCCGACACCACGCTCACCGACCAGACAAAGGTGCAGACGGTCGGGAGCTCTACGATCGTAGTGTGCCTGCTGCTGATGGGGGTATGAGTCGCTTGTCGTCTCCATCGGCGCGGTACCTTCAGGGTTAGGGGAGCTCTTTCTCGGGGGTAGGGGAGTTCTTCCCCGCGGAATGTGCATGCAATGTCTTGGTCCCTCGCCGGGTGGTGGGCGAGGCGGTCGTCGCTGTATACTACGAGCTCCAGCATCGTGTCGCTCTGGCTTGCTCGCGGAGCGCCGCTTCCACGCCTTATACACGGTGCTACGTCGCAGCAACGACCGTTGTCCATGCAGACGGTACTAGGTGGATGATATATATGCTGTGTCGTCGAGGTTATATGTGGCAATGTGGAATCGAGCGACTAGGTGCGACTAGACGTCGACGAGCGGGTGCAACGGCTTGAGCGACGACCGATTGCTGTCATCCATGCCCGGGCGCGCGGGCGACGTCGGGTTGTGCAGGTTGGTGAGGAGGAGACTTCCGTTGCTACCGCGGCGCGAGTAGAGGTCGTTGCCGTTGATAATGGCCGAGTACGTCTCGTCGGCGTAGTTGCTGGTTGCAGGGGCGAGCGGCGCCGAGTCGGCGCGGGTCGCGGACCGCGCGAGATTGCTCGAGGACGGGTGGAACTGGTGCATCTCGGACGAGCGGCGCTTGTTGGTTTGGTAGTTCTCGCGGTAAAACTCTTCGTCCTCTTCGACGTTTTCGTGGCGCTCGATGCGCTCGCGGTTCGAGCGCCAGAGGCAGCAGAGCGTGCAGAGGACGCCGAGAATGAGAACGCCAGAGCCAATGATGAGGCCAATTTGCCATGTTTGTAGCGCTAGAGACAAGTTATACCAGGGCGACCGAGTGGAGCGCGGACGTACACGAGCCGTTCGAGTCGGACGACGGCGAGCTGGAACCTGGTGGAGTCGTCGTAGGTGTTGTCGTAGGCGCCAAGGTGGGAGGAGCAGAGGTGGGAGTGGCAGAGGGAGAAGCAGTAGGTCCATCAGTCGTCACGACGGGTGTAGTGGCTGGGGACGTTGTACCTGGGGACGTACTCGTAGTGGGGCTCGCCGTGGACGGCGTCGGCTTGGGCGACTCGGTGGTCGGCGACGAAGTGGGGGCCGCCGTTACGGTCGTTGGCGCCGGCGTTTTCGTGCTCGTCCTGCAGCCTAAAGCGTATCTCGTAAGGAATGGGTTTCGCGACAGGCGTGCGAGTTACGGCAGTCGGTAAGCCCCGATTCGCAGCCCCCGGAGGATTGCGGTTCCAAGGCCAGAACACCAAGCACCTTGCCGGGCGTGTCGGTCGTGAACTTGAAGCAGTAGACGTTCGGGTTGTTCTGCTTGCAGTCGCAGCCAGAGGTGCTGGTCTTGCACATGCAGATATTGACCTTGCCGTCCGTGGTGAACCCGGCCCAGGACGACTCGTCGGACGTGCAGATGGACGGGCACGTGCTATCTATCGCCATGCGCCCTCAGCCCTCGTCGCCAGAGATGGAGGTGTCGGTACCAGCGGCGGCAAGCGGCGCAGCCCACGCAAGGAGGAGGCTCCATGCGAGAAGCAGTATCGGCGGTGCCATGAGGCTACTGCTCGGACTGGCGCAAAGCTGTGTAACAAGCTGCTGGCGACCGATGTTCGATATCGGCGTCGTCGCATTTTAATTTAAAATCGCGCCCGCCTGGCCAAGCGTATACAAACACCAAGTGCAAATCTCCACGCACCCAACTCCTGGGGCAAGGCCGTGACCAACGGTGCAAATTTTCACCCGCGCTGCTGGCGACTTGGTTCAGGCGACTGGAACTCTCTCGACGCCAAGACCGCCGCAGCCTATCCAGGTAGAGCGAAAGCCCGTTTGCGAGGAGCGAGAGAAACAGATTTCTCTAGTTAAGGCCAATCGCGCAGGAAGCACAGAGGCGCCGCGGCAGTTCCTGCGTCGGAATCGTACGATATATTGTTCCGTACCCGAATTACCTTAAGTGAGCTGCGTGCACCGCGACCGCCTGCATTCCTCCTTGATTCCAGTGCCTGTAGACAAATCCTCGAAGTTCGAAGCCTGGAATCATGGGCGCGTTTCTCGGAGGAGGAGGAGGCACGACAAACGATACGCGTCGTGCGCGGCGAGATGGACACAAGAGGCATGCAATTGCAAGCAGACATGGATCCAAGTACACTGTAGAAAGGGATGCGATGGGCGAGACGGCCTCGATTTGCTGCGGGTTCGCCATATCGAAGTTCGAAGTGGCTCGCATGCGGCTGATAGGGCTCGCGAAGCGACGTGTGACACGCCCAGATGGTGTACTTATTTGCGGTAATTTCATATCAACTGTCCGAAGGGGCGCGATGCTTGTGGCGCCACGCGGAGCGCGCCTGCCGTTCGTGCTCGAGGCGCTGCAGCCCGCGTGTGGGCCGATTCGCGGCGGCACCGAGCTGGCGATTCTAGGGGCGCATTTCAACGGCACCTTGGACATCCCACGCCGCGTCTCGGATGTCCACCTGCGCGCGCCGTTGCACGAGACAGACGCTAAAGTCCGCTTCCTGCTTGGCGACAAGATCTTGACCCAAGTCAACGCCAAGCTTCTCTCGTCCAAGAAGCTACTGTGCACGACACCGCAATTCAACGAGCCACTCCGCAGCACCAACCATGCCAACTGGTAGCTCCACCATCTTCCATTACCAAGGCTCTTTGCCTGAATACGACGATCACAGGGGTAGTGTGACGATCTGTGTGAGCCTCGAAGACAGTGCGTTTGTCCCTTGCCGTCAGCGCTTTCAGTATTACCTGCCCACTTACTTGTGTGACCTCGATCCGCCAACGATCCCGGAGCCAGATCGTCTCGGGCTCACGCTGCGCGCGCACCTTAGCGTTGGCGCGACGCCCCAGACACCAATGACGGACGCCGAGACCCTGCTGCAACGGCGTCTCGCGTCGTTCCTGTCACCGTCCGTACAGATACAGCGACGTGTGGGCCAGCACACGTGGTGCGTCAAGGGCAGCGTCGTCGTAGCAGAGACGTTGCGCCTTTCCATGGTCTTCCCTGAGGACGCCGGTGTCGGGCAATATACGCTAGCGTTCGCTTGGAACGGCGTCGACTTTGACGCACCACCGCCGCCGCCATCGAGCTCCGAGTGGGCCGATTGGGGCCAGCATAACCGGTTTGAGATCTTCCGCCCGCCGTCGCTGCGAAGCCTGCGCCCGCACGCGTGCTTCTACCTTGAAGGTCAGACACTGGACCTCGATTTTGACCCGTGGCAAGCGCCAGGCTTGCGCCCGGCGTCCCACGCGATCGTTCGGTTTGAGCGCGAGTGCAAAACCACGAGTCACTGCGAAGACTACAAGGTGTCGTTGGACGATACGATGACCATGTTCGACTAACTAAGCGACTAGGTGCGCGTGCCCATGCCTGCGGGCGAGTCGCGGCACCTATCGGTCACGACGCCGTGGTTCCACGAAGCCGGCTTGTACGAGATGGCCATTTCTATCAACGGCGGATTGCACTTTACGCGCTATCCGATCCAGCGACTGCTCGTGTACCACAAACCGCTCTGCGAGTTCGTCTCGCCCGAGTATGGCATTTCGCGCGGCAACACCGAGTTAAGCCTTCGGATCGCGGTGTGTTTGAAGTCTAGAACGATCCCATATCATATCTCCTATCCACGGTCTAGTTTGCGCACCCACGCGTCGACGAAGACCACCCGCTGGTGCCGCTCGAAGACGCACAGGTCGAAGCCTGTGCGCCGACGTTGTATGTGCGCTTCACCCTCGACGTCTCGGGCGCTGTCCTGGCGACGGTGCCGGCGACGCTTAGCAGCTGCCACCGATTTGTGCAATGTCGCAGCCCGAAAAACACGGACATCGAGTCCTTCCAGTAGGCGGCGACGTTTCTGCAACGGGATATCGACCAAACGAGATGATGATTAGATATTCGCAAGTCGAAGCCGTGGCCTTGTCGCTGAGCTTCGATGACGAGCTCTACTTTGCACTGGCGCCGAAAAAGCCATTTGTGTACTATGCACCGCCGCGGCTGCGCGCGTTCTCCACGACGCACGGTTGACAAACACACGAGGTGGCAACTCTGTCGTTGATCGCTGCACTAGGTCCCTTCTCCGGGGGCACGCCGCTCGTCATTGATCTGTGGCATCCGCTGCCCGACTGCATCTCGTCGCGAGTTCGCTTTCGGTGCCCGAAGACGCTTGTCGTCCGAGACGCCCCCGCGACCACGCACAAATCGCAGCCATCCAGCCTTGTCTGCGTCGTGCCGCCCTGGCCGCGGCCCGAGGACGACGAGAGAAATGATGATGATGAACCGTGCAAGCTCGTGCTCGTCGAAGTACGTGCACATTGCTACGATTACGCAACAGTGGGTACTAGGTGACGCTGAACGGCGTCGACTTTCACATGGATACCAAGCAGCTCATTGCCAACACCAACGCGTTCTTCCGCGGGCTCGGCTCGAGCTTTTTGTACTACCGCACGCCGCGCCTCTTCTTCGTGTCGCCGGCGTACGTGCCGACAACGGGGGCGTTCCCGTGGTTGTGCACGGCGACGATTTGAACGATTACGGCGGCATGATCCAAGTTGCCTTCTCCAACGGCGCATCATCGACGCGCTACGTACCGGGGCGCGTCGACGGTTCTGGCGTTGTCTGCACAGCACCACCGTTTGCCGCTGGTAAAAAGGAAGGATTTGCGCCAAGTGTCGACCATGGTACTGCGTAGGCCTCTCCAACGTGGCCGTGGCGCTGAATGGCCAGCAGTTTACGGGTGACTGGAACGGCCGGGGCGACTGCACGACGGCGTCCGTACCACCTTGCTCGATGAAAGGGTGTCACGATGGAGTGGTGTAGAGATCTCGACGCGCGAGTGCGGTTTTTCGAGGTGCCAACGTTTTCGGCCCTGGCCCCCGCGAGCGGTTCGCTGCGGGGGGGTACCCTGATGCAGATCTTCGGCACGGGCTTCATCGAAACGGGCGCGCTTGAAGTGCGCTTCTCAGCACCAGCTATCGAGTACGAAGAAATCGTGCCGGGTCTCGTGACCGAGTGAGCCCCAGAGTGTGTCACGAGGACCCCCACCCCTAACGCATGTTGCCTGTTAGTGGTGTGCTACGGTGCACGACGCCCCGCTGCCCCATTGAATGCACTGTCGATGTAGCGTGGTCCTTCTCTGACCGCGTCTTCCTCCAGCCCGACCAAAAGCAGCCTCGAGCGGCGTTCACCTACGCGGCCAAGTAGCACACTGTAGCCGGACACCAGAGCGTGTGTTCCAATCTTAGTCGCATGACATCCATGTACGCAAGGCGTAGAGCAGAAGTCGTCGTATGCAAGCTGGCCTGGCGTGTGTACAGGTTGTCCATCTTTGATCAGCAGAAAGCGTTGTCAAAAAATGGTATTTTTACGTGGACGAATCCACCTTTCTTGTCACAGCCAATCGCTGGCAGTCGACGGGATCTTGTGCAAGGGGCGCATGCAGGCGCGGGCCAAGCGCGTCTCTCTCGCCCATGCAGAGAAGGCAGCGGTCCATTTCGCCCGGCGCGATGCTAGCGAGCCGCACAACTCGTGGATCGACAGCATGTTCATCGTCGTCGCCAACGTCGTCGGCGTCGGCGTGCTTGGCCTTGCCCACGCGTTCGCCATGCTTGGCTGGCTGTACATGCTTCGTCCTCTAAATGGCATATGCCTCAATGCGCCTGGCGCTATGTAGATGGGGCATTCTCGCTCTCGCCATCACGCTGGGCGGTTCGCTCTACAGCGGCCTTCTCATGACGCGCATGAAGGGCCGCGTCCCGACCGCCTTGGTGTACGCCGACTTGGGCCACGCTGGTAGAACTGCCGTCCCCTGGGCCTTCCACATGCATACGTTGCTGTAGCGTACGGGGACCTCGGGCACGCTTGCATCACGCTCTTTGGCTACACATACATGACGGGCATCTGCGTACCGCCGATAGAATCTCGCTCCTACCTCATGGCATCCGTAGCTCTCGTACCAGCTGACCGCATCGCTCTTTGTAAAAGAGCTCACGAACGACCTGTGCTTTGTTTCTTGCGCGACCATGGTCGCAGCCTTCGTCTTGCCGCTCGCGCAGTATCGTAATTTTACCGAAATGACGTCGATGGCGGTCGTCGGCGCCCTCTCCATCGTCGTGCCTGTCCTTCTCATTATCGGTAAAACGACCTTTTGTTCGCGGTCAGAAGGATCGAACCCACCATTGTAGTGGAAGTGGCGTGGCATGGGCGGTTCCAGGCCGTCGATACCGAGTGGGTTCCGTCCGCCACGGGCTTTGAAGCAGCCACGGTCGCCTGCATGGACGTCGTCTTTGCCATGTACGACAACGAACACGAGCCGGCGGTCGATCGATTGTAATGCATCCGATGTAGGGCAGGACATGTCTTCTTCGTCGACATCATGTCCGAGATGAAGCACCCGTCGTCGTTCCGCCAGTCGCTCTACGGCGCGACGTCCTTCTTGAGCGTCGTTTACTTTACGATTGCGAGCGTGGGCTACTATTGCATTGGCACGTCCGTGCTCAACCCGATCACGCAAAACCTCGCCAGCGATGTCGCCCGGCGGTACGCGCCCTCGCCGTATATTTTCTGGCAACCGTTTGGGCGATAGTTGGTGCAGTGCATTTGTCTTGAGCCACATCATCGTCGCGTACGTCATGGCCGTCATGGTCCTTGCCCGTAACATTGAAATCGACCTTTGCCACGCGCCGCACGAAGACAGCGCGCACGCCACCTTGAGCCAGCGCCTCTTGTGGCTCGTCTTGACGTTTAGCATTGTCTGCGTCGGCTTCCTCGTCGCCAATGTCCTGCCCTTTGTCAACGACCTCCTCGGCTTCGTCGGTGCCATGAGCGGCGTCACGACGACGTTTGTGTTTCCGTTCCTGCTCGCGCCCGTGCTGCTGCACGACGAGCTCTCCAAGCGCCATCGTCTCGCGCTCTACGCGGTCGCGATCGGTAGCACGGCCATCGCCGTCCTCGGTGTTGTCTGTGCGGTCCAGCGCATGTCCAGCTCCTACGAGACCCGGCGTCCGTTCTCGTGCTAGCGCATACAATCATCGCATTCGAATCAATCAAAAGCACTGTACGAGCTCGAGTCTCTACACAGAAAACGGGAGCCAACAAGAGCAGGAATGCAGTGGATGCGACCCCGTCGCGCCAAGTATCCTACTTGGCCACTCGAACGTCGACTGCGTTACTCCTCCGACGTCGCAAGCCAACGCCACAGAAAGGAAGACGTTCGGGCGGGTCGCATGCAACGCAAGCGATGGACCGTGGGCACGCGTCACGAAAATGAGCTGGAAGCGTGTGCCGGTAATACTCGATGGCATTCCTCGTCGCCAGCAGCCACTGCAGATTTGCGGTATGCAGTGCGAAGAGCAATGTCGCTTCTCGTTTCGTGCTACGCGCGCCGTTGCCAGAGATGCCACCTGCAGCGAATCATGGTGTCCACGGGCGTGCGACCCCAAGTGCCTCTCGGGTACAATAAGAACGTAGCTCGCCGACAGCAATGTCCTACATGCCAGGCAACGCAGGACCTTCCACATGGCCCACCACGCGCACCTAAAGGCTTCCTGCCACGGACACCAGAAGCCATGCATCGCATCATAAGATCGCATTGAAGGCGTGTCAATCGCGGTCACCGGCGGTGGATACCAAGGCGGGCTTCGCGCTCGGCCTTGGCGCGCGCCACGTAGTGCTCTTCCGCCGACGTCCCAGGCGGCGGCTTGCGCGCGGCCTCGTCTCGGCGGGCGCGGGCTTCGATCAGCTTGTCGCGGTACGCTTCGTACTCGTCGGCCAAGCCGTCCTTGACGTCGAGCCGTGTTGGCTCGCGGCGCAGCATTTTCTGTTTTCCGGATGCGGTGCGTCATCCGGATAAAGTGGATTTCGGCTCGTCGCGCAAACATGCAAACGTCGGGACTACATGAGCGTCCATTGAGAGAGGCCGATCTATGCTGCTGTAGGTAGAGACACGTAGCCAAGGGTATAGCACCGGATCGACCGCATGAGTCGTCTGCCGTTGGACCGTGCGTGATGGGCGAGCCGACGTCATACCCTTTCTCGCTGGCTTTCCGACGCGTTTCATTGGTTGAAAAGCGCACGCTTCAACGATTGGGACACGCTCTATGCGATCGTTGATTGGGTGAAATCGAACGAATCACAAGGCGACGAAAAGACTTTTTAAACGCAAAGGACTTGGGATTTGTAGGGAGCATACAAACGCCAAGTGGGATTTGAACCGGGAAAGGAACGCGGCTGAATATAAATACTTGGACACCCAAAGAGCGTCGCAGGAGCAACCAGAAGGGACGACATTAGCAGATTGGTTCAACATCATCATGCAAATGGAAGAGCGGAAGGCTGCAACCGACGCCCCGTCGCCCGCCAACGCGAGCAGTAGCAGCAGCAGCAACTTCTACCAAGGCATGCATCCGTACCAGCAAGCGCAGCTCATGCGGCGACAGCCCTCGTGCCCGATCTGCGGGTCGCAGTCGCTGCCTCCCAACATGGTCCTTGAGCCGTGCCAGCATCAGTTCCACTTCCACTGCGTCGAGGGCTACATCCAGAACGAGAAGACGTGCCCAGTCTGCCGAACGCCCATCCAGCGCCACCAAGGCATCAACCGATCCTTCCCGACCATGGCCACGCAGGGCCATCCACATGAATACCCGATGCCACTCCACAGCCAAGGCCAGAGCGCGATGCCCATGGGTCGCCAGTCGTACGCGCCGCCACAGATGCACGCGATGCCTCCGACCAACGGCGGCAGCTACAACGGCCAGGCACCGATTGGCCACTTTCCGAGCGCCAGCGTATACGAGCTGCCACCCGAGGTCTTCTTGGATACGTCGTACGAGCAGCAGGGGTCGAATGCGCCCGGAAAGATGCGCAAGGGCAAGTGGACGGCCGAAGAAGCGCTCTACTGCGACCGCCTCATTGAAGAATTCAAGCTCGGGAACTTGCCCTTGGCCGAGGGCACGACGCTGCGCACGTTCCTCTCCAAGCTCCTCAACTGCGACCCGATGCGGATATCGAAAAAGTACACGGGCAACCAGTGCATAGGCAAGGTACACGCATCATCATCTCATGCTGCATGGACTCAAATGGTCTTAGATCATCTTTCGCAAAAAAGCTAAAGAGCCCTCAAAAGACGAGGTCGAGAATACGCGCAAGCAGCTCGCCGAGCTCGAGCGCGTGTACCTCGAGCGTGAACGTATGAACCAGCAGCGCCGCGAGAAGCGGCTCGAGACCGAGCTCACACGCGACCGGGGCCGTCTGCTCACGACGCGGCCCATCTACCACAGCATGCCCGGCCAGGCGCCGCCGTCCATGGGCCAGGGCCCACCGCCGACTGCGCCACCTCCCGGGTACCATCACCACCCTGGCATGCAGCACCCAATGCAACAACAACCGCAACACATGCAGCCAGCGTACCCGCACCACCATCACAGTAACAACAACAACAACAGCAACAACAACAGCAATAGCGGAGCGAGCAAGACCAACGGCCAGGACGCTGAAAAGTCGCAGACAGGAAGCCGCCACGTGAGCCCACAACAGCACGACCCGAGCCCACGCCACACATCGCCGCATGACACGTCACCCTCCTCCCGCGTCAAGACGGAACCGACATCAACAGAGCACAAGGACGACGAAGCCGAAGACGCCAAGCACCACGCCGACAACTTTCCGCGCGTCTCGTCGATCGACAGCTTCTCGTCGCTCTTCCCACGCATTGCGTCACTCGACTGCTTCCAAGGCCTCCAGTCCATGTCCCGCAACCCATCCTCGATGTCGCTCTCCAACCACGGCGACGCAGGGATGTTTCGGTCGCCGTCGCTCGAGTGCTTCAACGGCATCCCGCGCGTCAACTCGCTCGAGCAATTTTCAAATTTCATTGCGAGCATGCCGCCGGCCGAAGCCTCCAAGAAGGAGACGCCGGTGGACCATCCTTTTGCCGAGCCTGCACCGAAAGGAAAGCCGCCCATGTCGGGCATTGCCCGCGCCGCGTCGTCCGACAAGCTGCACACGTCGTCAATGACGTCATCATCGACGATGAGTCTCCCGCGCGTGCCGTCGCTCGACAAGGCGCTCGACAAAATGCCGCGCGTTCCGTCCATGGACCGGCTCCACGGCAGCGGCATTCCCCGCGTGCCGTCGCTCGGCGGGCTCCCGCGCATCAACTCGACCGAGGCCTTTCTGCAGCACATTCCGTCCCTGTCGAATCTGAGCGGCCTCATGCCGTCGTTTGGGTCCTTTGACAAGCTGAGTTCACTCTCGAATCCAACCAAGCACCTCGCGATTCCGCGCAACTCGTCGCTCGAGGACATTTTGTCGCTGGTCGCGGCGTCGGCCGACCACGAAAACAACCCGCGCCATCTCAAGCGCAAGGCGGCGGAGAGCAGCGAGCCGCTCGTCGGCGGCATCCACAAGAGCAAGCTGCCAATGAACGCATCGGATGGCCTATCGACAACTAGTAGCAGTCTCTCGGAGAAGAAGCAGCGCCTGTAAAGAAATTTGAACCCTGTCGTGATGTTGGTGTTACAAGCTGTCTGATGCGAGAGTAAATTTTGAAAACGAGAGATTGTAAGACCACGCGCATTGACGTGCGAAGCAGGTCTTTCCGTCGACAGCCCGCATCAACCTCGTCTGCCTCGGCTTCTCGACGTAGTGGTCGGTGGATGGCGTGCTGGATTGCAGCATTAAAGTCGTCGCCGGCATGTCTCAGTTGAAACAAACACGCAACTTGATAGATTTGGGACAAAATCATGTGTCAGGCTCAGGACGGACGGGTCCAGGTACTCTCGTCCGTGAGCGGGTTGTAAAAGTAGACGGCACCGTCGTCGCCCGTGCACTCGGTCCAGCTTGACGGCGGGAGGTCCCAGACGCTTTCGCCAGTCGCCGCATTGATGTAGTAGACGGTTCCGTTCACATCGGTCGCGAGCTCCCACGACGGTGCGGGCGTCTCGTCGGGCGTCTCCCACTGCGTGGCCCCCGTGACGCGGTGTTGGTAGTAGAAGCGGCCGCCGCCATCATGTACCTTGGTCCAGTCGCTCATGTACTTTTCCGGGTGGAGCTGCTGGCGCCGAAGCCGGCGCTCGTCGGCGCGCTGCTGCTTGCGGGCGGCGAGCTTGGCCGCGAGCGCGTCGTCCATTTCCCTTTCAGCGATCGCGCTCCACGCGAGCCGGCGCTCGTTTTCCTCGGCGCGCATCTGGCGTCGCGCAGTCGCCTCCATCGCCCGCTCGTCCGCCACGCGCTTCGCCTCAATCGCCCAGAGGTACGACCGGTGCTGCCGTGACAAGTGATCTTCAGATCGCATCGCGCGCTCTGCGGCTTGCTGCAGTTTGGTCTCGCGGAGCTGGAGGCGCAGTTGCCGGACGCGGTCTTCCTCGGCTGCGAGCGGATCCACGAGCAACGTCTCATGCGACGGCCGCCACGACACATCGGCCGTCGCCATGCACGCACGCTCGCGGGCCTCGGCCTTTTCTTGCAAGAGTCGCTGCACGCGGCAAGTATTCTCGGCCGCGCGCTTGGCCTGCCACT